ACACCTGCTGTATTCGGTGGGATTCAATGTGGCTGCCACCTCCATGACATGAGGCAAGAATGACATTTATAACAACACACCGGTACGCCTGGGAGTCGCGGCTGATCACTTCTGAAGGGTCAGCGCTCACACCAAAACCAATGCTTACTCGGTGACCTCCTCCTTATTCATTCAGCAAACGTCTACCTGGGTGCCTTGTCTGACTTCAGGCTGCTGTAACAAAAATACCGCAGACTGGGTGGCTTAAACAACAGAAATTTATTCCTCAGTTCTGAAGGCTGCCGCCCAAAATCCAGGTGCCGGCCAATTCCTGTTAACCACTTCAGCACAGCGCCCACCGGCCACGAAACCTCGCCCACCGCCGCACTCGCAGTCCGCACGGCGGTCTGCGCTGTGCATTGACGACGCGTCCGTCTTGCTCTCGTGTGACGAGGAAAGCTTGAGAGCACTGGGAGCTTGTTTTCCTTTACAGGCGGCTTTACTTGTAATGCACATCAGAATGGATAACGTATACCTATATGTTTTCATTACGTTATTTTTAAATGTTTACAATTTTATTTTGATAAATGAAAACTTAGAAAAGTCACATCACGACTGCCGGCTACAGTCGACGCTCGGCTGTGTGCGTTCCTATCACGGCTGTCGGCTACAGTTGCTGTGCGAGTCCACCTGTGGCTGTCGACTGTAGTCGACGCTGGTCCCGGAGTGGTTAAGGGCCCTCGTCCTGGTCTGCAGAGAGCGGCCTGTTTGCTGTACCTCAGAGGTAAAGAGACAGACACCGTCTCTCTGGGCCTCTTTTTATAAAGGCATGAACCCCGTTCACGAAGGCTTTGCCCTCGAGACCTAATTACTTCCCAAACGCCATCGCGTGGGGAGTAAGAGCTCCACCACAAACTCCGCAGGGACACAGACGTTCGGTCCACAGCGCGCCTACTGTGTGCCGGGCGCTGTTCTGGGAGCCGGGACACAGAGGGCTCCTCAGGGAGCTCACCCAGGCTGGCAGGAAGTGGGGCGGAGACTCCCCGAGAGAAGACAGCGTGAGAGGCAGCGGGAGACTGAAAGCCACGGGATATCGCGAGCACGATACCGCACCTGGCTTTAAAGAACTTACTAACGGGGAAGCCAGTGAAAAGTGAGGCCTCCGTGACTTAAAGAGTGAAACAATACCTCCAGACCCCTGAGCAGACGCCCCAGGGCAGCGTGGTGCAGCAGAACCAGACAGCAAGGAAGGCTGGCTCACCACATCTATGTTGTCATGCACCCACGGTGATTACCCAAGCTAGCAAATGTTTGTCACCAAGCTACGAGCAGTTTCAACGCCAGAGAATGTGCGTCCTTCCCACAAATGTGGGTTAAGAATAGGGATGCGTAGCTGTTCAGCCGTGTGTGCCAACACGCCTGTCCATTTGAGTGCCACACGCCTACACCTAGGAGTGAGGGAGCAGAGCGAGGGATTCTGGAAGAACAGGGTTGTGCAAGCCTCACCCTCAGCCAGTCACGTGCTCTCCTCCCCGAGGGCCTCAGATTCCAGCACAGGCCCTGAGAACCCTTCAGCAACCACCCCCAACACACACAACCATCGGCCTCTGCCAGGTCACGGCAGAGTTTCCGACATACGCCGACCTGTCGGGACAGACAACACGAGCTAGACGCTCCACGTGGGGGACACTCGCTGTCCCCACAACCCCTGCTTTCAAAGAGGGGCCCAGACTAGCTTCGTGCCCTCAGGCAAATCGCAGCCCCTCTCTGGCGCTAGTCCCTCACCTGTAAAACACGGCACTACACCAGATCCCGAGTTCACCTAGGACAGAGTTTACTAAGAAATTCCAGTACAGCTTTCGTTAAGACTCAAGCAGTAAAACATTTTGGAAAAGCCCAACAAAACCACAGCTTCTCCAGAAAAGGCTGAAAGATGTTTTAAAATAAGAAACATATGATGATAGAATAAGCAAAGTGCTGATTTTTTTTTTTTTTTTTTTTTTACTTTTTAACCCATCTGCCAGAAGAAATGGTATCTGTAAGATTATATCGGCTGAAGTCTGAACAGGGCTAAATCCTCACTAACCCTGTCACAGAATCGCTGGAAATCAGGGCTCCCCTAGGGCCGGGCAGCCCCAAAGTGAAGCATTAAAGCTTATGGGAATCAGTTCTCGGATTGCAAAGGTGAAAAGGAAGAGAAACTGCTAATCTCTACTTTTACCACCAAAAAATTTTTACTTCTATAGCTCAAAAGGAATCACTGTACGCCGAAACTTGTCTCTCAAGCACACCCTTACTCTGAAACCTGCCTCCCGAGAGCAGCTCCCACTGTTCTCACTCAGCCAGCACTCGGCCCCAGACAGTCCGTCCCGTTCTGCAACCAATTTAATTTTACATACTAAAGTATCCTGCATAGTCAGTAACCCACAGGAAAATGCATTTTCTTCTTTTAAAGAAGTATTATGAATATACAAAAAGAGGGATAGCATAATATGACACTGATGCACCTATCTCCCAGGTCAAGAAAGAAAACACTGCGAAACCGTGGAGGCCCCAGGGTGGCTGTTCCCAATCACACCCTCTGTGTCCCCACCGAGGGAACCACCGCCCAGAACGCAGGGCTCTCCCTCCCACCTGCTCCCCACCCCCACTGCACAGCAGGTGTCCTGACGCTCCGCAGTCCTGTTTCACACGATCTTCTCAACCTCCACATACACGCTATCCTTCTGAACACAATCCTTCTGTCACTCATTTTGTTTGTGAGAGTAATCCACCCTGACACACACAGGGCTAGCTCCTTCATGTTCACTACTGGGTAATACTCCACCATCTGATTATACCACATATTTGGCCAAAGACACTGACATTTCATGTGGCTGCCACGTAGTGCCTACTGTGTGCGAGCCATTTTCCATAACATTTTCCAGAACCCTCAGTTACCCAACGAGGAAGGTAAGATTCCCACCAGACCAAACAGGAAATGGGACAGAGAGGTGGTATAACATGCCCAACAATGTGAGCAGCAGACCCTGGCTGCAAGTTCAAGTCCACCCAAGTCTAAAGCCACACTCCTGACATCACACCTAGTAGCCTCACTTACGTAGATATCTCCATTGTTCAAAAAATTTTTTCAATGAAAATACTGATAGAGGGCTCTAAAGTCATCTGAAAAAATCTGAAACAGGACACTCTATTTCCTTGTTAACTAAACAGTCCCATAGGAAATTCACCCGACACAGGGGCAGTCCGTGTGCACACTGAGGACGAGCCTCTGCCTTTGGCCAAAGCCCTGCTGGGCCGTTCCCGAGTTCGCACAGACAGGCTCAGGCACCCCGAGTAGAGCTGCAGCCCTGCCTGGCTCCCTTTGGAGAAACAGGCTGGCTGCACCACTTACAGCCGGGACACACAAGACCAAGAGAACCTGGGAATCAGACCCTGCTCGAATTGGCAAACGCTGAGTCAACCAAGTTCTGAGGACCACTCCGGGAGCAGCTTCAGCTGCCATCGCCCGGAGGTCCCGACAACAGTCACACGCCCACAGGCCACGCCTGCCCCTCTGCTCTCACTTGGCCGGCTAGGAAAGTGCTTCCACGCAGCCCAGCCCCACTGCCCTGCAGAAAGCCAAGCTCGCAATGCGGAAGAGCAGCGAGACCCAGGAGTGAGGGTGGAGGCTCAGAGGAACCAGGCAGGGAGCATGGCCTGCGGGGAGCACGGCCTGCACGCGGGGAGCACGGCCTGCACGCGGGGAGCACGGCCTGCACGCAGGGAGCACGACCTGCGGGGAGCACGGCCTGCACGCGGGGAGCACGGCCTGCACGCGGGGAGCACGGCCTGCACGCGGCGCGGGGAGCACGGCCTGCACGCGGGGAGCACGGCCTGCACGCGGGGAGCACGACCTGCGGGGAGCACGGCCTGCACGCGGGGAGCACGGCCTGCACGCAGGGAGCATGGCACGCGGGGAGCACGGCCTGCACGCGGGGAGCACAGCATGCGGGGAGCACGGCCTGCACGCGGGGAGCACAGCATGCGGGGAGCACGGCCTGCGGGGAGCACGGCCTGCACGCGGGGAGCACGGCCTGCACGCGGGGAGCACGGCCTGCGGGGAGCACGGCCTGCACGTGGGGAGCACGGCATGCGGGGAGCACGGCCTGCACGTGGGGAGCACGGCATGCGGGGAGCACGGCCTGCACGCAGGGAACACGGCCTGCACGCGGGGAGCACGGCCTGCGGAGAAGCAGCCCCGCGGGCCTGGGCCCAACCCCTGCAGGCGCCCCGGCACCGGGCTCCTGGAGACGAGGGCCCAGCTCCGCAGGCCGTCCAGAACTGGGGCCTCTGGCGCCAGCGCCCCACCTCTGCCGCTCCGCTCCGCGTCGCCCCACTGCGTCCGCGCGAGGACCAGGGAGCCCCTCCAGCCGAACACGAGGCAAGGACGCGGGCTCTGCCACTGGTGGCGCGGGGCCTCGGCCGGGGCGTGCCTGCCCGCCCTGCTGGGGACAGGCGGTGTCCGAAAGAGCCCTGCCAGCCGGCTCCTTCCGTCCCCGCAGCACCCGCGTGACAGGGACGAGCAGCCGGAGTGCCAGCCATCGCCCCGACCGCCCGCGGGCTGCGCTGCTGTGCCCATTTCACAGACAAGCGGCTGAAGCGCAGGAAGGCTAACCGCGGAGCCCGAGGTCGGGGCACAGGTGAGAGGAGGCCGTGGGGGCACAAGTGCAGCGCCCGCGGCGGCACGGGCGGGGGCGCGCGGCCCGGGAGGCGCAGGGAGGCTGCGGGCGGCGCGGGGACGGCGGCTGCAGCCTCACCGGCCAAGCCAGGTGAAGGGCGGGTCGGGGGCACGGACCCGGAGGGAGGGAGGAGGCCCGGGGCCCGGGCGGCGCGGGAACGGCGGCTGCAGCCTCACCGGCCAAGCCAGGTGAAGCGCGGGTCGGGGGCACGGACCCGGAGGGAAGGAGGCCCGGGGGCGGCGGGGAGGGAGGGAAGGAGGCCCGGGCGCGGGCGGGGCCGCCGGGCGCGGCGCGGCCCACCTTGAGCACCGTCACGCCGCCCGCGCTGTGCACCTGGAAGTGCGCGGGCGGCTCGGCGCCCGGCTCCGCAGCCTCGTCGGGGCCCTGGTAGCTGAAGCAGGCGTCCGCGATGTCCAGGTGGCCGAGCGGCAGCGCGTCCTGCGGGCTCTTGAAGTAGTAGAGGTAGCAGCGGCGCGCGTCGAACACGAACCAGCGGCTGCGGTAGCCGCCACCGGGCCCTGGCCCGACAGCTTCTGCAGGTACCCGCACAGGCGCGCCGGCTCCCGCGCGGGCCGCGCCGCACCGGCCCGCGCCGCCCTCCTCCGCGCGGCCGCGCCCGGCATGGTCCGCCGCGCCCGGCCCGGCCCGCCGCCGCCGCCGCCCGCGCGCCCGCGCCCCGCCGCCCGCGCCGCCGCGCCGCCGCGCCGCGGCCCGCGCGCCGCCGCCCGCGCGCCGCCCGGGAAGCCGGCCGTCCGCCAGCGAGCCCCGGGCCCGCCACCGCCCCCCGAAACTGCGTGTCGCCCTCCGCGCCTCGGACCGCGGCGGAGACCTGGGTTTTAAGTCTCCGCCCTGCCCGGTCGGGCCGAGCTGTGAAGGGGCGCAGCCGTGGCCGCGCACTGAGTGGGCGCCCAGTGAATGCTTGTAGACCTCAGGAGTCAAAGCCAAGGCGCCTCCTGCCTCCCTAGGCCCAGTCCATCCGCTGAACGCAGCACGCATTTATTGAGCGCCTTGGGTATGCCGGGCACTGGTGGACGCAGCAGCGGCCAAGCCAGTCGTTTCCCGCCCTCGTGCGGGTCATAGTCTGTTAGGTGGCTGCAAAAGTGATTTCGGTTTTGGACTGTGATTTTTAAATCATAACTAGGCTCAAACACATCTTTATTAATACAAATAGGAACCATTACAACATATTTTTGCCACAAGAAATAAGTTTGCTTATTCCTGTAACGTAAGAATCCGTGTTTCGGGGCCACGAACTTGGAAAGCATTTTCTGCATCCTGCCAGTTGTGGAAGCATTCTCCCTGCAAAGAGTCGTGGAGACACTTAGGACGTGGCAGTCGGGTGGCAAGGGGTCAGGTGAGTGGCAGAGGAGGCAAAACTTTCTAGCCCAATTCGTTCCACTTTTGGAGTGTTGGTTGTGTGACCTGTGGTCAGGTGTTGCCGTGGAGAAGAACTGGGCCCTTTCTGGTGACCAATGCCGGCTGTAGGTGTTGCAGTTTTCCGTGCCTCTCATCTGTTTGTTGAGCAGACTTCTCAGATATAATCATTTCGCCGGGATTCAGAAAGCTGCAGTGGGTCAGACCGGCAGCAGACCACCAAACAGTGACCATGACCTTTTTCTGGTGCAGGTTTGGCTTTGGGAAGCGCTTTGGAGCTTCTTGGTCCAACCACTAAGCTGGCCGTCCCCGGTTGTTGTGTAAAATCCACTTTCATCACAGTCCCATTGAGAAATGGTTTGTGGTTGCGTACAAGAAGACGACACTTAAAAATGACGATTGTTTTGATTTTTCAGTCAGCTCATGAGGCATCCACTGACTGAGCTTTTTCACATTTCCAATTTGCTTCAAATGCCAAAGGACCATAGAGTGGTTGTCGTTGAGTTCTTCGGCAACTTGTGTAGTTGTCAGAGGATCAGCTTGGGCTCTTGGTTGTTGTCAACTTCCAATAGCCGTGCACTGTGCTCTTCTTCAAGGCTCTCGTCTCCTTTGCAAAACTTCTCGAACCCCCACTGCACTGCACAATCGTCAGCAATTCCCGGGCCAAATGCGTGGTTGATGTTGCGAATTGTCTCTGCTGCTTTATGACCCATTTTGAACTCAAATAAAAAATTGCTCGAATTTGCTTTTTGTCTAACATTATTTCTATAGTCTAAAATGCATACAAAATAAACAGCAAGTGATAAGTCATTAGCAAAAAAAGTAGTGAGAAATACACATTAAAATGATGTATGACATACTCACATTTACTTAAGAATGTATTCCAACATCAAACGACAGACGGCAACAATGCTAAAACCGCAATTACTTTTGCACCGGCCTTACCAGCAAGGGAGGGAGGAACGCATGCACAGAAGCAGAGGCATATGACACACGCTACGCCGTACAAATGCTGTGACGCGTTTAAATGGTTACCACTCAAGGTAGCGCTTATAACTCACCAGTGCTTTATAGATTAACTCACTTGAACTCTCAGGACAACCTCGAAAGGCAAACACTGTTGTTTTGTAATAAAGTGCAATGGCAGGATGCGGTGATGGAGGGGAGGGCTGGCAAGCTGCTCCCACAGGGCTGTCGGGGAGGCTGGTCTGAGCCTGTGACGTCGAGCAGAGACCTGGGGCATGTGAGGGACAGGGGCAACCAGAGACTGGGGCACAGCATTGCAGGCAGAGGGAGCAGAGAAAAAAGGCCCAGGTAGGAAACCAAGCTTTCTGAGCTGGACAGGGCCACCAAATTAGACTGCCTGTCTGGAGCCCCACAGGTAGCAGGGCCGGCTCTGGGCCTCCCCCGCCAGCCAGCCCTCTGCAGGCCCAGAGGCAGCCACCACGGAAGCATCCCTCCCCTGGACCTGCCAGGGAGGTGGCCCTGGCCACAGCCGGGCCGCCCAGCTCGGCCCTCCCGGCTCTCTGTGAGCACAGTCAGCGCGGTGTTCAGGACTGAGCTCAAAGTCAGACTGTCAGAGTTTGTCTCCCAGCTCTGCTGCTTACCAGAGGCGTGACGCTGGGCAAGTTATTTAAACTCCCCGAGCCTCAGTCCCTTCATTTCTGGAATGAGGGTTGCACAAGTAGCCATCTCGTGCTGCTGTTACCGTGGGGGCTACGTGAGGCGTGCAGCAGGTGTACTTAGCACGGTGCCCCACGCGTGGTAAGCGCTCAGTACGTACCAGCTGTCGTTGACTTTGTTGCTCTTGTACAATTAACACTGATGTCTTCCTCGTCAGTCGATTCTGAGAGGGGGGTTAGCGGGCAGACCAGCCCCCACGCGAGAGAGGCCAGAGTCGTGGTGCTGCAGGAGTCGGCAGGCTGTCCTTGGGAGCCAGGGGACCAAGGTCAGTCTGGGCCCAGCGTGTGGGCAAGAGGGGCTGTGACTCAGTGGCTTGTGGAGCAGGCAGCCGGCGGGGGGCATGACCTTGACATACCGTGGAAAGGGGAAGCGCTGGGAGAACTGGTCTGTACGCCGTGGTGCCGGGAGCCTGTGGGGCAGGGCAGGGCCGGGCACCCGTCTCTCCTGAGCTCAGTGAGCTGTGAGAAAGTCGAGGGCCGCGGCCTGTGGGCCCAGAAGGCAGGGTGTCACATGGAGGCAGGTGTCTGCGAGGCACGGGGCACCCTTCCCAGGCAGAAGGAGTGAGCCCCACCCCTGGAGCTGCAGGCTGGGCTGGCTGGCCAGGTGCGGCAAGTGGTGCTAGACTCCCACAGCCCCTCCGAGAGCCGAGAGCCGGCGTCTGAGCCCCTCAGTGCGCGAGTTGAACCTCAGCCTGACCTCCCGCACCTGAGCCCCCTCCCTCCCCGGCACCACCGCAGAGGGCTGGGCCGTCTAGGGTGCTTGCAGGCCCCTGCCCTCCCCGAGGAGGCCGCACCTCACGTCGTATCCAACATGTTACAATGCCTCCACATCCCCGGGGAAACGTATACATAGTTTTTGCCATAAAAGTGATGGAAGGAATATTCATAATTATGTCCTTGATATTATGGACTGTGAGTTATTCATTTTAATTTATGATTGGCTATGATTTCTTGGTGACCATCATGTCTATGTAAGGGTTCTGACCATGTGAGAAAAACCCACCCTCCAAATCATTTCTAAGGATAATGTCATTTTTATGATGACTGCGAAGCTGACTAAATGTTACACTTTGTAGACATTTAATGAAATGTTTATTAATTTTGATTTTGCTCTTTTTCTTGGGTTTTGAAGTCAATACATTTTTCTTAGGCCACAAGTATTTCTCAGGTGCCTTGAAAGCAGGCAAGTCCGGGTGCCGAGTCCATCAGAGTCCAAGGGCCGGGCGGAACGTGGCCCTCTGGGGAGGGGCTGAGCAGCCGCAGGCCGAGTCCCCAGTGAAAGTGGTGAAGTACGGAGGCCGCCAAGCCGGGGCCAGCAGAAATGTCTCAGGAGGGGCCCCGGAGGGCCCTGCGTCTGCCCGCCGGCATGAGCATGGGAAGGGGCTCCTTAGAGCTTCCAGAATCGACCCCGACACCCTCTTGACCCTCCCGGGCCCTGCACCCACCTACTCTCCCCGCGCCGCTCTGAGATGCCGGCCGTTCAGGGACAGCCCCCCAGGCCATAGCTGAGGGAGCCAGGCCACAGGGCTGCGGCTCGTTTCTCTTCGCTCCTCCCCATCTTCAGTGTGGACAGTTTTCATAGTCTGTGTGAGCAAGTGCAGGCTCAGTTTCCCCCACGGCCCTCCTACGTGGGGATTGTGGAGCAGTCTCTGGTGGCTCCTGATTCCCTGGAGCCCTTCTTGAATGGCTTGTTGGCTTTCACAGTCCCTGAGGCCTCTTAGATTAAACGTCAGCGTCCTGCGGCCAGGGCCTGCGCGCCTCCCGTGGCTAGTGGGCATGCCTGGTGGCGGAGGGTCTGCCCCGCGTGCCCATGGAACCCCCGCCTCCTCCAGCCTTCCAGGAGCCCAGTGACCAGAGGGAAGCGGCCACTCCAGGAGGAAGTAGCCGCTGTTCACTGAAAAGGGGAAATCGGGCAGCGAGCTTGCTCCCACATGGCCAGCCTCTGGGCAAACCCCAGGGGAACACAGAGCCAGTGACTCACCGAGGCCAGCTTCCCCTGAGGGGCAGGGCGTGCCCAGAGGCCCCTGAAGGAGCACCCCCCATGCGCCGCCCTGCGTCTGTCAGACCCAGGACACGGGGCTGGCCACGAGCCGACCTGCTGCGGGAGCTCACAGTCCTGTGGAGGCCAGAGAGGAAAACAACCATACCACCTCCGTGCTGTGTGACCCTGGGCATATTCCGGCCCTCTCTGAGCTGCGGTTTCCCAGGTGCAGTTTCCAGCCATCGCAACCAAGCGGGCCCTCCCCCTCAGCGCTCTGCTCCGTCTGTGGCATTGCCTGCCCACTATGGCTAGTGGGAGAATGGCCACTGCAGGGTAGCGCTTTGCATCATCCCTGGGCCCCATGGGGAAGCTGCCACCACCACCACCACCACCACCCAAGGCAGCAACGGAGGCTTCTGCCCCTGAGGCAGCCAGAAGAGGCGGCTCGGTCACTCTGGGGAGGAGCACAGGCGGCCCTTGCTGAGCCAGAGCATATCCGGAGGAAGTCGGAAGTCGGCCTGAAGCGGGGAGGTGGGGGCGGAGGGGGCTGGGGGCCTGGGGCCAGGAGCTCCTCAGAGGGAGGCTGCTTTGCCCCGAGGGAGCAGCTCCCACAGGGAGACCCCAGCCGGGGAGGGGCTGTCCACGCACGGCCACCCGCACGGCCACCAAGAGGGGGTGCCCTGCACCACCAAGCCTACTGCCCTGAGGGGGGTTGGTAGGGGCCTGGGCAGGGGCACGGGGTGGGGGAGTTTTAAACAAAATGAAAGGGGCTGTGCGCCCTTGGGCTGGTCACCCAGCCTCCCTGTGCCTCAGCGTCCTCATCTGTACAACGGGGCATGACGACAGTGTCTACTCCCAGAGCTGCGGTGAGGCTTAGGTGAGCTAATAATTGCAAAACGCTCGCACAGGCCCTGACACACGGCGAGTCTCAGCGTGTGGCCAACTCATCCGGCAGACATCCCAGCTCCTGCTCTTTGCCTCTGGCTGGTGTCGGGAGGTGCTGAGAACCCGCAGCAGGGCTGGGCCTGCAGCAAGAAGCTCTTAGACTCGCCGGTGGGGAGCTCAGAGAGCAGAGCCCACCAGGGGAGCATGGGGCCTTCAGACCCTCTCGGACCATGAACTCTGGCTTCCAGTAGGCCTCATTTCCCTACCAAATTTGCAAGCAAATCTGCACACCTCATGATTCTCTTTCCAAAGGGGAAGGCAGCTAAGGGCTGGCCTAGCTCCCAGCTCTGGGCCAGGGGAACAGGGCAGGCAAGGCCAGCGCAGGAGTTAGGCAGAGCCACACTGCCCAGGCAGCAATGAGGCCTGGACCCCGGGGAGACGTGGCTGTGGCCGCCGAGGTGCTGTGCCCTGTTCCACGCCCTGAGTCCAGAGCCCAGCACCCTGCCTGGGATGCCAGGGCCCGTCCCCTCACCACTGCCCCTTCCTAGAGGCCCTCGGGCTGCCCCCTTCTTAACACCCCACGCTCAACCAACCTGATCTCAGATTCTTCCTTCTCCCACGAGTGCTGAGACTGAAGCCCCTTTGCAGCCCAGTCGGGAGCCAGAGGCATTTTAACTGAAAGCTTGAAGGGATGCAGTTCTGATGGTGGAAGTTCAGGCATCCTTCTGGCTGAGGGGCCTGCAATAGAAATTTAAAAGGTACTTGTGCAAGCAAAGCAATAGGAGGGAAGATCTCAGAAGGCAGCCAGGGTACAAGACCACGGGCAGAGAAAAGACCCAGAGGGAGCAGATACCGGAGTAGGGGGATGTTTTTAAATTTGTTTTCTATTGTGAAGTGTGACTGTATGGACTAGTTATTAATTTTGAATCAATGCATTTTTTAGCTTCTTATGGAATTGTGAGTAGTGGGGAAGATGGCCAGAGCCAAGGCATGAACAGTGGAGGCGGGGTGTGTTGAGGGAGGCAGGGTGGGGTACCAGGTTCCTGTCTTGGCCCTGCCACGGACTTGCTCTTTGTCCTGGACAGGCCTTTCCAGTCCTGAGTCTGTTTCCCTGTCTTTACAGTGGGAACAACTGGGGACAGAAATCCTACCTCGTCTGCCTGCTGTCAAGATGAAAGGAAATCATGTATGCATGTATTTGAAGTGCTTGGCACATGGTAGCGGCTCAAAAATCCTTAGAGTTCTACCATGGGCCTCTGTTTCCCCAGCTGCAAAGTGAGGGGAGGGGAGATCTGGGAAGCCGAGTGAGGGCTGACCCAGGGGCTCCCGCTGCCCCAGCTGCCAGGTGGTCCAGGCCCACCCACCTGGGCCCCGTGGTGGCCATCTGGCCTCCAAAGAGCTGTAGAACAAGCTTCTCAAGGGATGGCCCTCAGCCCCTCAACTTCCCAGTGGGCCCCAGACTGTTCCTAAAATGCTGTCCCCTCTCCAGCTGTCATGAGCAGACAGCATGCAACTCTGCAGAATTTCATTTTCACATGGGACTCAGAATTGCTCACAAGTGAGGCCAGATTCTATACAGAGAAATTAATTTCTGTCTTGTTCTTGCTGCTACAACTGAGAGGTGCCCTGACAGAGGAGCCTAATGGTCTGAGGTCTGGTTCTCTCCTCCGGGTGGTCGGGAGCCCACAGGCCCCCTTGATGGGTGCTTTGTAGGGTAGGGGCCTGGCAAGGTTCTTAAGACCAAGGTAGAAAGAAATAATAAAAAGAAAAAACAAACAAACAAACAAAAAAACCAAATAAAAAAAAACAAAGACCAAGGTAGGTCCAAGGCACTCTTACCTTGGGAGTCCCCATCTCATTACATGTCAAATATATGTATTTTAAATAACATGGCCCCATTTTACACGAAAAAAAATTTCTTGCTTTAAACTTTTTGGAAAGGATTATTTTTATAATTTTGCTTTTGGAATGATTTGGCTTTGAGGACTTCATTTAATTTACAACTGGTAGAGACTTCTTGGCAGTCTTCCTGCACATTTGGGGATTCTTGTGAGGTAAGATGATCCGACCTCCAAACCATTTTCAGATGTGATGAAGCTGTATGAATACTCGGTGAAGCTGATGCAATATTACATGGCACAGACGTTTACTTATACATTTATTCATTGGGATTTTGCAGTTTTCTCCTTTTGGATTTTGGAGCCACTATTGGGGTTTTTGTGTTTTTTTCTTCCAGGTCTCAGACATTTTTATAGGCCCTTAGAAATTTCCCAGTGCCTGGCTGTTGTGTGAATGAAACAGAGCAGCCTGTGTGTGGTGGGAGGAGGCTGTGGGGGCCTGTCTGGGTACAGCCACCCTCCTGCCATGCTCGAAGATGACAAGACAAAGTCATCCGGCAGCTGTGAGGGGCCAAAAGAGTCACAGTAAAATTTTGGGGTCAGATTCAGCCCCCCTCCTGTCTTTTCTTACATGCTGGGCCCCCCAAAATTACTGAAGGTGAATATATTATCATTTCATTCAATAATTACTAAGCATATATCAATAAAACCCCTAAATAATGCATTTAGCAATATCTGTCAAAATGGCAAGTGCAAATACCCTTTTGATTCAATGATTCTACTTCTGAGAATGTGTTTCATAGATGTATTTATTCTTATGCCTAATCAAATCTGCATAAGGTTATCCACTGCTGCATTTTTGGAAATAAAAAAGAAAAAGATTGGAGACAACCCAAACAATCATTAGCGGGCAGGTTACAGAAAGTAGGGTGCAGCTGTACAACGCAGCAATAAAATGCAGCTGTAAAAGTACGGGCGGCACCACTCTACGTACTCTGGTGGAAGGAGCTCCAGGATATATTGTTACATTTGTTTTTTACAACACAAGGTGCAGAGTAGGTAGTACCCTACCTTTAATGTAAGAAAGGGTAGGCCGGGCACAGTGGCCCACACCTGTAATCCCAGCACTCTGGGAGACCAAGACGGGAGAATTGCTTGAGTCCAGGAGTTCGAGACCAGCCTGAGCAAGAGTGAGACCCCATCTCTACTAAAAATAGAAAAATTAGCTGGGTGTTGTAATGCATGCCTGTAGTCCCAGATGGCTTGAGCCCAGGAGTTTGAGATTGCATAGAACTATGGTGATAGCTCACTGTGCTCTACCTGGGGTGACAGAGCAAGACTCTGTCTCAAAATAAATAAATAAAAGGCAGAAAATAAGAATATATTATAAGACATATTTATGTGGACATACATAGAGAAACCCAGGAAGGACATTCAAGACACAAGTAATGGTGGTTACCTGTGGGGCGAGATGGGGTTGGGAACTGGGTGGGTGGGGCTTAATGCTTGGAGGGACAGTATTTTCACTGATATCTGTTTATATTTTGTCTTCGTGGATGGAAACCCATGTGGATGTATCATCTATTTGGATGATAAAACACACCCTCTGGGCATCTACCTGGGCCAAGCACTGTTCTAGGCACAGAGCACAGTGGCAAACAAGGCAGATACTTTGAGAAAAAAGAAATAGGACTGTCCATTCTGCACTCCCCAGCACTGCGGCACAGATTCACGCCTACAAATGGAATAACTCAGGGCTCCGAAAATGTCGTGTTCACAGACTGAAACAAGCACAGGCCGGGCGTTTACTGAAAAGTGCACCCTGGCGTTCCGCCTGGGGGCTGGCTGCCAGCGGCCCTCGGCCGTGCCCATGGTCGCCCCGCACAGGCTCGAGAAGGGAGAAGTGAGAGTGAGGCCCGGGTGTGGCCGCGCTCAGTGGGCCCTCGAATGGCGGGAGAGGCTGAGTCTCTGAGCACGTCCCGAGAAGCCTCCGCCTGCTTCCCGAGAGGCAGGCCGGCCCGCACACCTTCAGGAGAGGGCGATTGCCGGATGACCCACTGTCACCTGTTTGTCCTGTAGGAAGAGCAGGACCTTGAGCGAGGGGAGCCGGGACAGGGAAGTTTTGACAGGGCTGGGGACGTCGGACTTTAGGGATTTCCTGTCCGGGGACGACTTGCTGCGGGGAGGGAATCGCGACCGCCAGCCAATGCTGCCTGCGCGTGCACCTGTGCCTCCGGCTGCCGCGCTGTGTGGTCAGCCCAGGGCGCCACCAGACCCCCGGGCAGGCACTCTTCTCCCTCTGTCTTTACAGATGGAGGCACCGGACACAGGAAGCCAGCAAGCAGGGGCGCTCCAGAGCCTGAGGCCTTTTACTCCCTCCCCCACACCCCTGCGCCCGGACAGAGAAGGAGGGCAGGACTCCCCCGAGTCCTTTCTGTGCCCAGCACCCAGCAGGTAGCCCTGGTATGGAACCAAACAGTGGCATGCAGAGCGCTGTCAGAACATTTTCCTACCCAGGTCCTCACGGAGCTCACCTGCTCCCCCCAAGCCTGGCCCTTACCCTGCTCAGCACCACACCTTCCCTGAGTACAAAAAGGCTCCCTTATTTGCCTGACTTTGGAACCTTCACCTGTGGCCCGCAGCCCCCCTGGCTCTGCCTCCTCTTGTACACAGAGCCTTTGTCTTCTTATGAAAATGACCAGGTTCTGCCCATAAAAGTGTCCAGCCTAAAAGGGAGGTGGAGAGAGAACGCCTCATGGAAAATTCTAGAAATGTATTTCTTTGTATTTGCATACTTCCAGGACGTCACTTTGGCAGCAAACCAACTCTGGCTTGGACCTTGGCATCCTTAGCCTTTTTGTGCCATGGACCTTTCTGATATCTGATGAAGCCTGTGAACTTCTCAGAATATATATTTTAAGTGCACAAAACAAAATACATAGAAACACAATGGAAATAAGTTATATTAATAAAAGGTTTATCAAACTATGTGTGATGTAGCAACACGATGTGCTTCTTTACTATTTATAGTAGAGATGGGGTCTTGCTCTTGCTAAGGCTGGTTTCGAACTCCTGATCTTGAGTGATCCCCCTGCCTCAGCCTCCCAGAATGCTGAGATTATAGGTATGAGCCACCTCACCCGGCCTCAAAGCTTATTTATTTATTTTTTTTTGGTAAACTGTTTTATTGCAAACAGTGCATAAGCCGTGGGTGATGGCAGAGCCCGGCGGGTTTTCACGCAGCGAGCACACTCCTCAGCCCACAGCCCAGATCAAGAAATGGAATGTCGTTAGCACCCAGCAGCTCCTCACCCTGTCTCAGTCCCCAAGGTGACTGCTACCCTAACTTTGATCATCATCGACTAGTTCTGCCTATTTTCAAATTTATATAATAATAAATGTTTCCTCGTTCCTAACCATTTGCTATCTCTGCTAGTTCTCATGATGACCCAGAGTCTCAAAGTAGCTTCTTATTATTCTCACTTCACAGGTGAGGAACTCGAGGGATCTGCAACGACCTGGCGATGTCCCTGAGACCCCAGGCCATGTGCAGTGGAAGCAGGATTCTGACCCAGATCCTCGGGGCTGGCTGTTTGCAACACCTGCGGCCTTCCTGTCGGCCCATCCTGGATTCTGCAGTGAAACCTGGAAGCCCACTAGAGATTCAGGGACGTTTGCAGGAACGGATGGTCCCATTGCCCTAACTGATCCACAGCTTCCTATCCGAGGTCTATCCTAGGCCTTCTGGGGCTGTGGTCCCCAAGCCCCCAGGCCGCTGACCGGTACCGGCCCATGGCCTGTTAGGAACTGCACGCACAGCAGGAGGCGAGGGAGCAAAGTTTCATCTGTATTGACAGCTGCTCCCATCCCCGCCTGAGCTCACCTGTGTCAGACCAGTGGTGGCATTAGACCCTCACAGGAGCACAAACCCCACTGTAAACTTCACATGGAGGGGCTGTGTTGCGGCTCCTGATGACCTGAGTGGAGCTGGGGCGGCGATGCTAGCGCTGGGGAGCAGCTGCAGATACAGATCATCCTTACAGAGGTCTGACTGCACAGAGACCATAATGTATCAGTCGCTTGCAGACTCATCAAAACCCTATCAGTGAGTGGCAGGTGACAATTAAGCTGCATCTGCTGGCAGCTTTATGTCAGAATAAGACACTTATTTCAGTCTGGCCCACTCATTCTTGTATTTACCACTTCTGTCTGCGCCTCTTTCCCGCACTGCGCACTTGTCTCAGTCACAGAGTTGGCACAAGCTAACCCTAGCAAAAACGAGTAAAAACCAAACGTCGCTGGAGAGCTTCTTTGAAAAGGGGGAAAGAACCAATGATGAGACAGCAGAAGACTCTCAGACTGCTGACAAAATGAAAGCTGCATCTAAAAGAAAATATCAAGAGTCCTGCTTAAATTACAGGGTCATTGCAACAGGTGACTGACATTCTCCAAGCCCACTTTGTATAATATCTGGCAACCAGCTACCCAACAAAGCCATGAAACCTTCACAACTGCTCTGCCGCATGAAGACCAAGCACCCTGCATTAAAAGAAAAGCTGTAGAGTTTTTCAAAAGAAAAAAAAAGTGATCACGAAGCACAGAAGCAGTTGAAGGGCAGCACTTCATCAAGTGTGTCCTCACCGGGAGCACCCTTCCCCGTGGCTGCACGTGGCTGAAGCAAGGAGCCCTTCCCCACTGGGAGCAGTCGGCCCTGCCGCCGCCAAGGACACTTGCGGTGAACTTTGGTAGAGGCTGCACGCGTTCCTCTTTCAGTGGCCCCATAACTAGACGAATTGATGAAATAGCAGCGGGTATTGAGGCACAGTTGTCAGAGAGGATTAATGAGTCACCGTGGTACACGATCCAGGTTGGCCAATGTCAACAACAGGCAACAATGCTTGCTTTTGTGCAGTACATTTTTCATTAGAATTGCATGAGGATATGTTATGTGCACTTTTGTTGCCAACCAGCACCACGGCTGCAGAACTGTTCAAGTCTGTGAAAGGTCACACGTCAGGAAAACTGAGTTGGTCATTTTGTGTCGGTACATGCACAGACGGAGCGGCTGCCATGACTGCCGGCGTCTGGCTTCACTGCTCGGGTCAAGGAGGTCCTCCTGAGTGTGAGTCTGTGCACTGTGTGGAGAGATGCGGCTAGCCGGAAAACGTCACCTGAACCAGACAGCGTTTCGCAGGATGTGACTGAAATTATCAGCCACGTTAAAGGGCGTGCCTGAACTCACATCTGTTCACGCAGCGCTGCGAGGAGAGCACCTACGTCTTCTCTTATTCATGGAAGTGAGACGGCTTTCTAGAGGGGGATCACTGGCTAGAGTTTTTGAGCTACGAGAGCAGCTCCAGCAATTTCTTTTACTGCCAACAGTCACCACCGGCGGCACATTTCAGTGACACAAAAAAGGTCGAAAAACTTGATTACTTGTGTGACATATTCAAGCTGCTCAACAAACTCAGTCTGTCGCTTCGGGGGAGAATGACAGCTGTGTTCAAGTCGGCAGATAGCATGGCTGCATTCAGAGCCAAGCTGGAATCATGGGGGCCACGACTGAACATTGGGACTTTGACGTGTTTTAGACGTTAGCAGAGATTGTGAAAGAGCCAGGTGCATCTCCCAGCTGCATGATGGCCTGTTCCAGCTTTCCAGAGAGTCTGAGCATTACTTCCCAGCCACAGAAGACCCCGAACTGGGAAGGAACGGATCCGTGACCGATTTGTGAGTAAGCCAGGCGTATCAACCTTGCCTGTGCTAGGTAGAAGAGGATCAGCTGCTTGAAACTGCAAATGATGGTGCCTTAAAAGTATGTTTGAGACAACTCTAAACCTCCGTGCGTTCTGGATAAAGTGAAGGTGGACTATCCTGAGACTGCCACAAAAGAACTGAAGAGCCTGCTTCCATTTCCAACAGCCTATCTTTGTGAAGCAGGGTTTTCTGCAGTGACAGCCGCCAAACTGAGATTAGGGAGTAGACAGGACATAAGCAACACACTTCGGCTGTCACTGTCCTTCATCACCCCATCTAGTTGCAGGAAAATAAGCTCAGGGCTCCCACTGAATCTGCACTGTGGCGAGTTGTATGATTATTTCATTAGACATCACAATGTGATAATAGTAGAACTAAAGTGCACAATAAATGTAATGCACTTGAATCGTCCCCAAACCTTCCCCTCCACCCCCGGTCTGTGGCAAATTTGTCTTTCATGAAACCAGTCCCTGGTGCCAAAAAAGTTGGGGACGGCTGCTCTTGGGGCCCACCTGCTCCAGAGCCCCCCTCTGTTGCCGCCACACGAACTTCTGGCTCTTCTTCGGAATCTGCACAAAGTCCTGCCGGTAGTCTTGCGTTCCCTCTGCTGATGGCACCTGTGTCCCCAGGCCCCTGCTTGGCTTCCTCTTCCGTTGTTCCCTGACCCTCTGGGCAAGGCTGAGCCAACCCCAGCCCTCTATCCGAATGATGCCCCCATGTGCCGTCTTTCTCCTCTCCCTTTTCCTTGGAGTGTTTATTACGACGGACGCTCTAGTCCACACGTGTATGTGTTTGCTGTCTTCTCCCTCCCTGGAATGTGTGCACCATGCGGGCAAAGTCACTGCTGCAGGCCCAGGGCCGGAGTCACACGGCCCTCGGCAGGCACCCAATGCCTCTTGAGTGTCGGGGGCATCAGTCCGCATGGAACATCTCCCCCAAACACAAACAGCCTCCATGAGGGAAGGCTGCATAGACTCTAAACCCACCGCTTTGCTGGCGGACGGTGTTGTGGGCGTTAGCCAGGATCTGGTCTCAGCTGACAAAGTCGTGTGTGGGGGGAAGAGGCCAAACCCAGCGAGGCAGCTCCACTGCTGGTGGGAAGCCAGGGCCCTCCCCTGCCCTCTCAGGCCACTGTGGCGACCCTCCCCCCATCTCCCGCCAGCCAAGGTGCCCGGCCCAAAGTGGCAGAGAGGGAGCAGCCCAGCCCGGAGGTGACAGCGAGGCTGTGTGCCGGGCAGCGGGGTGGGGCCTGGGCTCAGGCAAATGAGCCGAGCACACACATATAGAGGCCGCTGCTCCCCACCCAGTGCTGGCGGGATGGAGGGCAGCCTCAGGCCGACCGGCCCGGGGAGGGGGCCCGCGAGGGTGGGGGACAGCCTCGGCCTGGCGGAGCTGCAGGAGCTGGCCCTGGCGTGGTTCATGGAGACTCAGGCCCCCTTCATCCTGCAGGATGGCGCGCTGCCCGCCTGGTTCCATGGATTCATCACCCGCAAGTAAGGCTGCCCATCCACGAGCCCTGCGTGGCCCGTGGCCCCTTGGGGCTGAGGAAATGGCCCGGGGACTGTAAATCTGAGTGATCACTGTCCTTTCCCTGGCTGGGCAGGGCCCGGGCGGCGGTGGGCGGGAAACAGGCTGAGGAGTGCCGAGTCCTCTGGTGGCGGCTCCTAAAGGCTGGGCAGGGTGGGGAGGGCGACGGCCCCACTCTGATACCAGCCACGGGGGACGGGGCTGCCAGCCTGCCAGACGACGGAAAGAGGGCTAGGCCCTGACTTGCAAGTGACCTGGGGACTCTATCAGTCACCATGCAAACTGCAGCACTGTTAATAACGAAAGGCTGTCTCAGGCGAACCTGGACGGTTATCCTGGGAGTAAAGGCCAAGATACGGGATTGGGTTTCTGATCTGGCTGGATCTCCACGCTGCCAAAGCGCTAGGTGAAGGAATGACAAATGCAGCCAGCGGTCACGCCCTGCACAGCACCTGCTGAGAGCCAGGGCCAGCTCTGCGAGCACTGGCGTGTGGGCTGCACAGGCCTGCGTCCAGAAGGGCCTCAGGCTTGGCGTCGTGCTCTGCAATCACTGCCTTGGGATTCTTGATAATTTCTGAACAAGGGGCCCACGCTTGTGTTTAGCACCAGGCCCTGCGAATTATGTGACTGGTCTTGCATACAGCAAGCGCTCAGTAAGTATTTGGCAAGTAAGTAGGTGAGGGAATGTGTATCTGGCCTGTGTACTGCCAAACCAGAAGACAGCTGGAATTTCCCACATGCCTCCAAAATACTTGGCACCGTGTAGATACCCTCAGCTGCCTGGGTTGAAAGGGACCTGCGGTGGCGTGAGTCCCTGTGAGCTGCTGCTTGACCAGGCTTCAGACACAGCAGCGGCTCCTCCCTGCAAAAGCCCTTGTTGGTGTAGACCCTGCACAAGTGTCCACCGGGGTTCTGAGGGAGGGCCCCACCAAAAACTCTCCAGCTGTGGACTGGCTACACAGCCGTCCAGATGGAGAGTAGTGGCCGAGGGCAGTGGCTGGCGTGCCCGCTCGTGAGCCTGCTGTGGGGGGTGGGGTGCTTGTGGCCTTAGGACCCCAACTCAGCCCCAGACTGAAACTTGTTCGTTTGGGCCCGGACAGACCACAGACCAGCCCTGAAAGGCCACAGACTCCACCGAAGGGCTGAGAGTCTCCTGTAGAGGGTCGGAGGCCTGGGCCCGGACAGACCACAGACCAGCCCCGAAAGGCCACAGACTCCACCGAAGGGCTGAGAGTCTCCTGTAGAGGGTCGGAGGCCTGGGCCCCCGGGCATGGCCTGCAGAGACTCTGGGGCAGGCCTAAGTCAGCCTGCTCCTGCTGCGGTCAGGGCTCAGGCCCCAGCTGACAGTGTGTCCTGTGCCCAGGCAGACGGAGCAGCTGCTCAGGGACAAAGCTCTTGGTTCCTTCCTCATCCGCCTCAGTGACCGGGCTGTTGGCTACATCTTGTCCTACAGGTAAGAGGGGAGCCCTCTGCGAGGGGGCAGGTGGGCTCAGGCTCCCAGAACCGGCCGTTCAGGTTAGCAGAGCTCCCGCCAGCCCACCCCAGGCTCTCCCTGCCCAGCTCCCGCTGTCCCACATGCGTCTGCCACGTGCAGCAGACACGTCCCGAGTGGCACTGGCCCTACGCCAGAGACGCAGCCACGGCCTTCACAGGGGTGAGTGGGGCCGGGGGGGGGGCATCCTCCCAGTTGGAGGCTGGGGAAGACTGCACAGAGGTGAACTTCGAGCCAGGATAGAAGGAAGAATATAATTTCCTAGGCAGAAAGGAGGGCGTGTTGGAGGTTAGGAGGGCACTTCTGGTAGACAGACTGCACATGGAAGTACAGGGGCGTGGAGGGCAGGGGGTTGGGGTAGCTGCCAGTCGCTGGGTGAAGCAGATGCGTGGTTGCCATGGAGGGTGCCTGCAGGGGAGGGCGGGGCAGGTCCGGGATGGCCTTGGATGGCTGGCCGTCCAAGGACCACGAAGGGTGATCTGGGCAGGCTGACATTTTGCAAGACCCTTCAGGAAGCCTAGGGAGAGAGGCTGGAGGTCAGAGGCTGGAGGTGAGACTGGAGTGAGATGAGGAGGTCTGGACTAGGGCAGGGCGGGGGATAGAGGGGAGGAGACCTGTGACCAAGACCAAGGCAGAGACGATGTCAGGTGCCATCGGGAGAGCAGGTGGGGTGGGGAAGGCAGAGGAAGGGAGATGGCTCCCCTAAGTGGGGAGGGAGCCCGGGGCTCCAGACGAAGCTTCAAAGGCTTTAGGTTCTGATCCCAAACCATCTCCTTCTCAGACTGTCCCATTTCAAATCTTGACCTTGAGCAAGTTACTTTCCTTCTGTTCCTTCATTTTCTCATCTGAAAAATGGGAATATTATAGTACTTATTTCATAGATTGTTGAAAGGAATTCAAACTATGTTCATAGGAATGTATCAGCCGATATATTTTAAAGTGCTTGGCACACAAAGACCAAATAAATGTTGGTCATTGATAAAATATTTTTGATCTACAGGCCATGTGCCAGGAACTTCGCAATATACTAACTCAGCAGTTTTCAAATATCTTTTCAGCTTCAGGGTTTTGGGGATATTTTTTGTTTTTGTTGTTTTGTTTTTTTCCAAGATGAGATTTTTTTTTTTTTTTTTTTTTTTTTGAGCAGAGATCTCACTTGTTGGTCAGGCTAGAGTGAGTGCGTGGCATCAGCCTAGCTCACAGCAACCTCAAACTCCTGGGCCCAAGTATCCTACTGCCTCAGCCTCCGAGTAGCTGGGACTACAGGCATGTGCCACCATGCCAGCTAATTTTTTACAATATATATCAAGTTGGCCAATAATTTCTTTCTATTTATAGTAGAGACGGGGGTCTTGCTCTTGCTCAGGCTGGTTTGAACTCTGACCTCGAAGCAATCGCCCGCCTCGGCCTCCCAGAGAGCTAGGATTACAGGCGTGAGCCACCGCGCCCGGCCCCAAGATGAGATCTTATAAGCAGAATGCCACCTTATAAAAGAGACCAAAATGGGGCTGCTGAAAGACATGCAGGAAAGACAGGTGGAACAGAATAGAGCCCAAAAACAGTCCCACAGGTTTGGTGTCTGATGTACAACAGAGGCAGTACTGCAGTTCTGCGGGGAAGAGGACTGTTTTTCAATAATTGGTGTGGGAGTAATCAGATCTCCAGTTGGGAAAAAATGACCACTACTTCACACCATACACAAAAATGAATTAATTCTAGAGGGATCATAGATCCAAGAGAGAAAAGCGAAAACAAAAATTTCTAGAAGAAAACAGAAAAACATTTTTGTAGGTGAATGAAAGTATCTTTGAAAATGGGATAGGTGAAGGTTGCTTAAACAGAACACAAAAAGAACCAATCATGAAAGAAAAGATTGATAAATTTGATTTCCTTAAAATGAAAAATTTTTGTTATCCAAAGATAACATTAACATGCCTGTAATCCTAGCACTTTGGGAGGCCTGAGGCAGGAGGATCGCTTGAGGCCAGGAGTTTAAGAATAGCCCAAGCAATACTTTGGATGATAGAATGTGGAAAAAAAAAAAAAGAATAGCCCAAGCAAGAACAATACCCCGTATCTACAAAAAATAGAAGTTAGCCAGATGTGGTGGCACACACCTGTAGTCACAGCCATTTGGGAGGCTGAGGCAGGAGGATCACTTGAGCCCAGGAGACTGAGGTTACAGTGAGCTGTGTTGACGCCACTGTACTCTAGCCCAGATTATAGAGTGTGACCCTGTCTTACAAAAAAAAAAAAAAAAAAAAAAAGGACACCCTTCACCCGTAAGAGAAGGATAAATGAGAAAAAGTGAAACTAATTATATGTGGACATGACTTGGTCTCAGAGATGCAATGTTGAGTCAAAGAAGCTGGACACAGAGGAGAAACGGTATGTAATTTCATTGACATGAAGCTCCCCAATGAGCAGAGCTGATCTGCGGTGACAGGGACGAGGACGGTGGGCTCCTTTGCAGGGTATGGGCAGGACGGGGCACAGGGGTTTTCTGGGGGCTGGAAAGGCTTCACATCTTGATCCGAGTGGTGGTTACATGGAAGGGCTCATACGTGGGAATTCATCAGGTTGCACACGTATGGTGTGTGCACTTCACTGCGTGTAAGTTATTCTTACAGAAAAAGGGAAAATGAAGAGGGTGGGACCTTACAGGCTGAAGTGGGGGTGGGAGCTGGAACTCCGTCCTTTCAGCAGGTGGGGGTTGGGGTTAGGCTGTTTGAATCCCGTTTTTATTTTAAATGTTGATATTTTGTTCATCATGTTTTTTTCTGGATTCATCTTGATTTTCTGAAATATCACATTAGTCATCTTGATGTCTTTTGGTGCCCCTTTAAATTTCACGCCCAAGAGGACTGCCTCACTCGCCTCACCCTAGTCCTGGCCCGGCCCTCCCTGACCCCACAGAGCAGGGTTAGACACCTTCTGCAACCCCAGGGCCCCTGGTCTGAAAACCTCTCCCCAAGCTTCCCGAGGAACACACCACGGCTCCAGGTGGGACGGGGTGGCCCTGCGTCGGGCGAGTCTGCCCGGGATCTAGTGCCGAGACCCCTTTTCTACACCTAGGCACAGAGCTTGGACCCGGACCAAGGCGGGGCTGCCGGTGGCCAGCAGCCCCAGACCACGCGTGCTTGTGTTGCAGGGGACGTGACCGCTGCCGGCACTTCGTCATCAACCAGCTCCCAAACCGGCGCTACTTCCTCTCGGGGGACACCTGTGCCCACGGCTCTCTGGCCGAGCTCGTGTGCCACTACCAGGAGACGCGGCTGGAGCCCTTCGGGGAGACGCTGGCTGCCGCCTGCCCCCGGGTAGGCGCCTCGCCCCCCCTTGAGGGGGTGGGCAGGGTGCCCCGGGCTTGGGTGTCCGTCCCCTGCGCACACACCTTTTCCTGCCGTCCCTGTTTAGTCACCCTGGGGCACTCTGTGGGGTCCCAGTCCCTGTTGGACAGGGGAAACCGTGGCAGCTCTCACCCAAGGGCAGGGACCTGGCGGGAACGTCTTGGGCAGGAGACATTCTCTGGCAGGCGGCTGGAGGCCATCTGGGGGCGTATGACCACACGCCTGCTGTGTCCTGCTGCCCGCAGCCAGAGGACGACAATCTCTATGACGCCATCACGCTGGGCCTCCACCAGACCAGGCTGGGCCTGGAAAACCCGCCCGCCACGGCGCCCCCTGCAGGGGTCTCGGACAGGGCCGCTGGCCCCCACTGCTCTGCAAAGCCCCAGGTCTCCTTTGTCCACGCACGGAGGGGCCTGGACGTGAACCCCTGGAACTCTGAGGAGCACCGTGTGGAGGTGAGGAGGACCTGGGCCGCTCGGAGCCAGGGCTGCTGGACTGCTGGGGAGCGAACCTGGCTGGGGCTGTGCTGGCGGCTCCCTGCAGGCCGCAGAGCGTGAGCCCGGCCCGGAGTGATGCGGGCCCAGCCTGGGGTCGCCCTGCGGTCAGGTGGTATGGCACAAGCCTTAGCTTGGCCATTTTCTAGCCATGTGGCTTTGGGAGAGTCATGTGATCTCTCTGAGCCTCAATTTACCCTTCCTGAGGTTCTGTGAGCATTGAATAAGAAAATCAATATGAAATGCCTGAAAATCCCTTGGTAAACTGTAGAGTGGGGTGCCCGTGAGTCAATACTTTATTCTTCCCACAGCACCCTGTGGGAAGGACTTGAGAGATTTTTCTTACCTGTATTGGATCACAGCATACCAAGGGCTTCTCCTCATATTTAGAATAAAATCTAAAATCTTCACCAGGGTCCACGAGAGTCTCACCAGTTGCCCTGCTACCTCTCCCCCTCCCTCACTCTTCTCTGGCCTCACTGGCCTTCTAGGTCTTCTTTGAACACGGCAAGCTCATTCCCACCACAGGGCCTTTGCTCTGGCTGTACCCTCTGCCTGGACTGCGTGGCCCACACTCTCATTGTGTTCTGTCTTCTTTTTTTTTTTTTTTTTTTCACTTTGTTGCCTAGGGTAGAGTGAGTGCCATGGCGTCAGCCTAGCTCACAGCAACCTCAAACTCCTGGGCTCAGGCGATCCTCCTGTCTCAGCCTCCCAAGTAGCTGGGACTACAGGCATGTGCCACCATGCCCGGCTAATTTTTTTTGTATATATATTTTTAATTGTCCAATTAATTTCTTTCTATTTTTAGTAGAGACGGGGTCTTGCTCAGGCTGGTTTTGAACTCCTGACCTTGAGCAATCCGCCCGCCTCGGCCTCCCAGAGTGCTAGGATTACACGCCCGGCCCTGTGTTCTGTCTTCTTAATGTCATCTCCTCAGGAAGGCCTGCCTAGACCACAGGAAAACCCCCTTCCCACTGTCGTCCTCTCGTCCATCACCTGTTGTGTCCTTCGTAGGCCTGATGCTACGTCATTCTGTGGCACAGTATTGACAGTCGATCCCGGAGCACGTCAAACCGTGTCACAGATGTGGCAGAGCAGTACGGTGCCCCTCCCAGATTAGACCGTAGACTCTGAGAGCGGGTCTCGCTCACCACTGGCACAGTTAGCTCTCGCTAAGTATCTGCTGCATGAATACACAAGTGTTGGGCTTGGGGTGGCCATTCTGACGGGGGATGGGGCAGTGAGTGGGCGGGCTCAGTAGGGCAGGTGAGCTTGGGTGGGAGGTAGGCTGGTGGGCCAAGGCCTTGAATGCCAAGGTAAAGCTCGTACTCAGAGTCCTAGAGCGTGACTGTTCGTGGGGACCCCGAATGTCCTGCATCCAACCCGTGCACATACAGTAGGTAAACTGTGGCCAAGCAAGGGGACCTCAGCTCGGCCGAGAGAGCTGTTTACCTGCGGGCATCTTAGCAACGGTGTGCTCTTTAAGGGTTCTCTTTGTCCATCTCCCAGGCCCCCATGGTAGTGCCCCCCCTCCCAGAGAGGAAGGCCTCCCTCTTGGACACGTCTCTCCAAGGCTCCGGTGACATCGTCTACGCAGAGCTGAGGAAGACGAAGCAGGCGCGGCCAGACCTGGGCACAGAGGTGTCCGGCACGCACGGGCCCGTTCCAGCTGGCGGCCGGGCCTGCTCCCCAGGCAGGGAGGCCCAGAGGCGACTCTCAGATGGAGACCAGAATAGGCCTGATGGCCCAGGGCCTGTCCTCTCTGGAGTGAGCCCAGACCGGAGCCCTCCTGGGTCTCCCAGTTCCCGGGGGTTCCTTGAGCCCCCCAGTTCTGATGCCCTGGGACCCCCGACTGTTGCCTGGAGGCAGGGGTTTCTGAAGCAGAGCCAAGGGGCTCAGCCCTGCCCCCAGAGCAGCTTTGCAGAGGCCTATGAACTGGTCAGGACAGCAGGCCGCCTCCCAGAGGCCGGCAGCACGCCAGACCAAGGAGGCAGCACCTATGAGCAGATCCCAGTCTGCTGGGGGGCCCCAACCAGGCCCCCACATCCTGGGTCCAGTCCCACATATAGCGAACTGTCGGAGCCCACCGACTGTGGCTACGAGAGGATCTCGGGGACCGCAGGGCTCCCAGAGCCTGGGAACACTTATGAGCAGATCCCGGTGGCCAAGAGCAAGGACCCTACACGGACACAAAAGGTGAGCAGGGCTGTGGTGGGCAGCCGCCGGCCCCTAGGGGCACCTAGTGGTGGGAGGGGCTGGTGGCTCTCAGGAACGGGCAGGCAGGTCCCCACCACTGCCTAGAAGTGCCCAGAAACTTCCAGCCCTAACACGCGCCCGGAGGAGGTGGTGGCGGCAGAGGCGGCCGCTGGATTTGAGGGGGGAAGACGGGGCTTCCCACCCCTCCGGGGGCATTCGCTGCAGCAGGCCTGGGCTGCTTCCCCTCCTCTCAGCACTGCAGGGGGCTCAGAGCCACCGAGGGGGAGCGAGGCCCTCAGTCCTAGGTATGGCTAAGCCGCTCTCTAGCCTTGTGGCTTTGGGCAAGGCAGTTTTCTCCCAGTTTCTCTGACGAGGGTTGCCAGATTTAGCAAGCTGAAATATAGACATCTAAATAACTTTGAATTCCAGATGAACAACACTTTTTAGCGTGTCTCAAATACTGACATTATTCCTTGTTTATCTGAAATTCAAATTTAACTGGGCATCTATATTCTTATTTGGTACCTCAACCCAGGACCTCCACTTCCTCACCTGTAAAATGTGCTAGTGCCCTGGTGTGTCCAGGGTGGCTGCCCGGAGGGTAACGCCGAACACCCTCCCACGCTCTGGACACAGCCCAGAGATGGCTGTTGGCGCAGAGCGTCATTTCTGGGGATTTCTGACGAGGAGGGGAAGAGGGGTGGCAGAGGGAGGTGATCAGGGTGGGGCTGGCCCAGGGCTCGCGGGAGGCGGAGGAGCCCTGCGGAGCCCTCAGTCCCAGCCACACTCTGCCCGCTCCTGGAGTCCAGGAGACCAGAGTCCCCTCCCGGCGGGCACAGACCATCTCGGGCACACGCAGACCTCTGTGGCCGCTGCGCCTCCCTCGGGCAGGGCTGTGCCTGCACCTCGAGTGCGGCAGCCTCCGAGACCCTGGCTGTCCCGAGGCCACAGACCCGGGCAGCGGACAGGCCTCAGAAGACACATCGCTCCTCTGTTCTTCCTGCTGCTGTCCCACACCCTCTCCCGCCTTGGCGGTGTGGCCCATGCCCACCCTGCCGGGGACACCCTGCACTCCGGGGCCCTCGCTGGCTGTGGGGGAGACCAGGGCACTCCAGGGGGTGGGGGCTCGTCCTCATCGTCCACCCCTCTGCGCTCCTCCCTCCCCTTCCTCTCCTCAGCTGGAAGAGGGCAAACCCTTCAGCCAGACGTAGGGGGCTGAGGGTGGGATTTCAGGCCGGTGGGAGCGACCATCAGTATCCCGGTCTGGCCTCGTTTTCTGGCCTTGGGCTCCCGACCCCACGATGGCCCCGTGAGCCTGGGTCCTGCGGCCCTGTGCAGGGACGCCGGGCCCAGCGTCTTCTCCCTCCTTGCAGCCTGACAAGCTCCGGAGGCTCTTCTTCACAGACAGGAAGCACAAATTCTGAGGAGGGCCCGGTATCTAGCAGCCTGCCAGTGGGTTTCCTGGCACCCAGGCCATGGCAGGGTTACTGCGAAGCCCGAAGGCACCCCTGGACCCTCAGCCAACCAGCCTGCCACGGAGCCAGGCTGAGATGCAGCCCCGGCGCCTGCCTGGAGGTGGCCTTCCAACCGCCTGCTTCTCCTGGCTGTGTCCTGCTTCCCTGGTGCCTCCCATCCGTGCAGATGAGGAAATCAAGGCCGGAGAGGAGTGGGGACCAGCCGAGGGCAGGGGTCAGCACCCCATTTCCCAGATGAGCACGCTGAGGCCCAGGCTGACTAGTTGGGCCTCCCTGAACACTTTCTGAGCATGCGGAAGGCCTTGTGCTAGGACAGACATTCTCCTAACTGGCTGAGTGACATCATGCGATTGCTATTGAGAACAAAACCAGCTTCCCTCCTTGTGGCCTCATCAGCAGAAAGGAGGGTGGACCACGAGCTACATCCTCTGCTCCTGCCCCACGGGGATTGGAGCAAGAAGCCAGGAAGTGGCAGCGCAGGCCCAGCCTCTGACCCTGGGGCAGGCCGGGCTCCCGGGGACTGGCCCCTCAGTTCTTCTCTGCCCCCAGCCTCCGTCCCCGCTCACTGTGCCAGCTGGGCAGATCCTAAGGGGCATCCAGCCCAGCCCCCTTATGTTGCAGAAGAGGAAACTGAGGCCCAGAGAGGAGCAGCAACTTGTCTGGGGCCACACAGCTGGTCAGGGCCTGAGCGGACACCCTAGTGAGGTGGCTCAGGCCAGGCTGGCGGCCCGGGGTGACTGCTGGGCCACATCTGGAGCCAGCCAGTGGGTACATGGTGGCCGTCCCCGTCACCAGGCCACTCTCATCTGCCCTCTGCCTCTGGCTTCCCTGGCCTTTAGGGGAGGCTCTCAGACCCTGCCCACAAGACCCAGCCCCAGCCCCAGCCCGGGGTGGCCCTGCCCTCCAAGAGCCCTCGGGGCCTCGCCCAGGCCTCTGCTCCTGCCCCTCGGGTCACGCTGGCTCTTCCCAGTCTCCTTCCCTCAGGACTGCCCTGTCTTCGCCCACACGACCCCGCCCCGCAAGGCTGAGCGGTCGGCCTGCTGCCCCTGCCCAGCGCCCCAGGCTCAGGAGGCAGAACACAGAACTGACCACCCCAGAGAGCACCACAGGCGCCTCCTCCCTGCCTGGCCCCAGCAGAGTTGGCTCCGGTCACAGCCACCCCTCGTGGGCACCAGCGATGCGGCTTCTCCCTCCGAAACAAGAGTCCTCCCTTCCCAGGACTGAGAGGACTGAGAGCAGAGCGCCCAGCCCTGGCCTGACGCGCGGCCCGCACCGTGTAAGCGCTGACCTCAGCCCCTGTGGTCACAGGGACATGGAAACAATCCCGCCGGCGTCCTCGGTGGGGCTTGCTGGAAGATTCGGGGCAGGGATGTGTCTTCCTCCCACAGACGCCGCCCTGGAATCCAAGTCAGTGCTTGCAGCGCAGCAAAGCTCAGTCCCAAGAGGTGACACGCCCGTGTGGGTTCAAGGACCGGGCACAGGTCCCAGTGCCGGATATTGTCTAATGTCTGCAGACACGGAATGTGTGGGGACACGGAAGTGTTTTACTGCCAGGAGTTCACAGATCTGTGGACAGCACACACCAGTGAAGAGTCCACGGCACTGGGGAGGGTGGGCGGGTGGCGTTCATGACCGCGATGCAGACAGGGACAGAGCCCTGCGTCCACTGCGCACACGGCTTCACATCGTGAAGGGGGTGGGGACGGGGACACAGGTGGGGGGTGGGGGCGCCGTCCAGCCTCGAGTTGTGGGAGAGGATTGCATAGCTTGTTGACCCTGCTCTGCCCTGGGCGACTGCGGCGTCTGCCTGGCACCTGGACGGGCCAGACCCCACCACCTCCTGCTAGGGTTTCTGCCGTCCCTTCCGGGGACATTTCCAGATGGGGAGAGGACCAGGGCATGGGCGAGGTGGGGCAGGCCTGTGGAAGAGCTGTGGGTCCTGGGGCTGGACCATGGGGAGCCCTGAGAAGGGTCCTACTCCTCACACCCCTTCCCTGGTTAAGGTTTTTTGCTGAAAGGGCCACAGGAAACGTGAACCCGAGGCCATAGCTCCCTTCCTGGAGAGCCTGGAGGCCGCACCCGCGTCGGCAGCATGGCTGGATGGGTGGGCTTCCGGGCCTGCAGCCTCAGCAGTGTTCTCAGATCCGGATGTGGAATGTGCTGGAAAGAGAGAAAGGGCAAGAGAGGGTGAGGGGCGCTGGGCTGGGCAGGTGAAGGCTCCCAGGGAAAGCAAACCAAGCCCCTGGGCCAGCCTGGACCGGCCTCGGGGAACCCTGCACAGAGGCTGCCAGTACTCCACACAGGGAGGGAACGCCGGGAGGAGCAGCTATCTCCAGGGCGTCCAGCGCCCAGCCATCACCTAAGGCCCCATGAGATTCTGGCCCTGCGGGTACAAGGGCCAGTCACACGCCAAGGGGAGCTGGGCCTCGAACGTGACCTCCTGCCCGTGGCCGACACACCACTGCCCGGAACAGTGAGTGACAGGGCCTTGGCCCTCCTGGGGTCCCGAAAGGCCAGACGCCTCGCTGCAGCCCTGCCCAAGCCCGGCCCCCGGGGCGGCACCTGAGGAAGTCAGGGGCCTTGGCAATCATGTCCTCAAAGTCCGCGAAGCCCAGCTTGCCGTCGCCGTCCAGGTCGGCCTCCTCGATGACCTTGTCGCACACGAGCACCACCTCGTCCTCGTCCAGCTCCGACTTGGTGAGCTTGGCCAGTGTCAGCTCCAGGTCCTCCTTGCAGATGAAGTTGTCTGTGTTGAAGTCTGTGGGGCAGAGGGTGGACGTGTCCAGCCGGTGCTGGATCCACCCAGGGACGCAAGGGTCCCGCCGACGTCGCCCTTCCACCCAGCTGTTCGCATGGACATGGCCACAGCCTCTGACGCCCCAAAGCGTCTCTGTGCACTCTCCCCAGCTGAAAGGGACCAAGTAGGCTTACCCACAAGGCATAGCTTAATCACTCACAGTCACAGCACCCACAAAACCCCACGAGGACTGTGCATATAACAACATCCTGAAACAGTTCACAACGTCCAGATCTGAGGCTCCCTGGGGACTCTGGGCCCAGGCCCGATGGCCCCTCTGGCCTTAACCCGCAGCGGACGCTGTGTTTCCCTCTACACGTCTAGAGCTGAGGGAACCAAGGCCCAGAAAGGCCGTGACTGAACCGAGCTGGGGGCTCTGACTGGGGCCTGGCTCTGAGACTGCCCCTTCTGACTGCACCACGCCGCCTCAAGCAGGCCCTGACTCGGACACGATAGGGCAGGAGGCTCAGAAGGCCCTAGAGACACCCCACGGCCAGCCTTTGTGCATCCGGAGCAGGAAACACCGTTCGATCCTGCTTGGCAAAAGGTGCCACTGCCCTAAAGTGCAGCAAATGGTTCGGAGAACGAGCCACGTGTGCACAGTCTCATAACGGTGAACTCCAACTCTCCTCCCACCACTTTCAACCCAACCACCAGGCATTTGCGTGTGCTGTTTCTTCCACCTCGGGTGCCCTTCCCAGCAAACTCCTGGTCACCCTTTAAGTCTCAGCTCCAATGTCACTTTTCAGTAGGGGGCTTTCTGGACATAAGGTCCCCCTCACTGAGCTCCCGCTGCCCACCAGGCAAACTCTGACACTAACCCTACTGCTGAAGACCACAGCTGCCGATGTGAACACTATGTGCTTTTTCTCATTCAAATTTCAAAACAAGCCTATCAGGCAGGTACAGCCAGAATTCCCGCTATACACATGGAGAAACAGAGAGGTGGCAAGGACACGCAGCCCACCTGAGGTCACACCCCTGGGCAGTGTTGGACACTGGAGCCCAAGCTCTTGGCCTTAAGCCGTCCACCTCTGCACACGCCTGCGTGCGACTCCAGCAGGCTCCCTGTGGGACCGTCTCTGCCCGTGGAGTGGGCACAGTAGGCTCCCGGTGGGACCGTCTCTGCCCGTGGAGTGGGCACAGCAGGCTCTCCAGAAAGGAGCGCCGGCTGGATTCCTCCGACCATTTTATACGAGGAAACTGACACCAGAGCGGGGGGATCCTTGCTACAGATGAGACCCCGAGACCCCAGGGCAGGAAGGGAGCCACGGTTCCCCCCTCTCGTGTCCTGAGCCTGCTGGGTCCACATGCTCTGAAACCCCCTCGCTCAGACAGCAGCCTCCCCAGGGGCAACCCGCAGGGTCTGGGACTGGTGGGACGTGGTGCGACTTGAGAAGCTTTTCACGTGAACTACACGGCACGGTTTGTGGAGAGCAGATGGGCAGGTGCTGTCTTTCTGACACGCAAGCACAAGGTGGGTGCACGGCTGTAACCAGATCCTCTGAAATAAACGTGACACTTGGGAAGGAAAAGGGTCCACAGGCCCTGCTGCCCTGGGATCCGCCAGCTGGTGGAAGGCAGTGGGGACAGGCTTGCCCTCCACCTCTCGTCCAGGATGGGCCCCAGCCCTTCCCTGGGCCTCAGTGTCCCCATGTGGGGCTGTCTGAGGATCTGACACCAGTGCGGGGGCCTGCCAGGCCAGCACAGTGCGTGAGCTCTGAGGGCGTGACTTCTCCCCCTGGCGGTGGGATGATTGCGATTCCTGGTTCATGAGCGGCTGCTCCCTCTGGTGGCAGCTGAGACGGGGACCAAGGGCTGGCTGGGGGACAAGGCGGCCCTGCCTTCCAGCCCAGCTCCCAGCCCACTCACATATGCCCACATCCTCCTCTCTGTCTCCTCCATTTCACACCCCAACGAGGGATCTTTCTAGAACAGAGCCGCCCTTCCTTACCTGAAACCCTGCAGTGGCCCCTGGCACGCTGAGCACAGGTCCGAACTCTCTGGTGGGTTCCTCACGGCCTGGCCCTGAGTACACTCACACTGGCCCTGCGCCTTCACGCCCAAACCTCACCCAGCTCCTTGCCAAGCCACACCACCTCCCCTCCCTGTCTCCACTGGCCCCGCCCTGCCAGCCTGTCCCCACAGCTCCAATCCGAAAGCCCCCATGGTCCCCCCAGCCCTGCCAGCCTGCCCCCACAGCTCCAATCCACAAGCCCCCATGGTCCCCCCAGGCCCCGCCAGCCTGCCCCCACAGCTCCAATCCGCAAGCCCCCATGGTCCCCCCTGCCCCGCCAGCCTGCCCCCACAGCTCCAATCCGCAAGCCCCCATGGTCCTCCCAGGCCCTGCCCTGTGGAGCCTCCCTCCAAGGTGGGGGCATCTCCCTCTGCTCAGCCCTCAGGGCCTGCGAAGTCTCTCCGGCACTCTTCGGAGACAGACCAGCCTTGCTGTTCTCGCTTCCCCAGAGGGCCCGGGGCACCCTGGTGCCCCAGCATCACTCCCACCCCCGCCCCATTACCGTAGATCTTGAAGGCGTAGTTCGCTTTGAGCTCCCGGGGGGCCGACTCGCACAGCACAGAAAACATGTCCACAAAGTCGTTGAAGGTGAGGTTTCCTTCGCCATCCTCAGAGAAAGCCTCCACGATCCTTTCCTTGAAAGGGTTCTCCTGCAGAAACAACCACAGCAGTCACCACGGGTGCAGGCATCACAGGAGGACCCCAGAGCCGGGCTGCTTACAGCTCACGTGACCTTGGACCCGTGGCCTAATCCCTCTCAGCCTCTGTTTCCCCATCTGTAAGACGGGAGTGACAGCACCTACTTAACTGGGCTGTGAGAGGCTTCAACGAGTTAAAGTGTGGAAGGTGATGGCGCATGCTAGAGCTCGGCAAGTGTTTTGTTGGTCACGTCATGAGCTCACGTGAGCCTCGATGTGTAGGGCTCCGTCCCCAACAAGAACGGACAACGGCCCAGGGCCTGGGAACCCTCTGCTCAGGCCATGTGGCCAGGACCGTGCAGGGCCCACAGGGCGGGACGGCTGGACTAAGACAGACAGCAAGAGCCGTCAGGCCCCAGGCCTGCAATTGTCCTGCTCCTATGAATCCCCCAGTTTTCCAGACCACCTCGGGTGCTGCCTGCCACTGACTCTCTCCTCTGCCCTACATCACTGGGGCCACCTCTCCTGCAGTCCCCTCACCCCAGCTGACTAGCACGTGGCCGGCCATACTGCAGGCCCAATCCAGGCCAGCACAGGAGACTCAGAGACAGACCACGTGGCTCCTGCCCGTGAGTGCCTCACACCCTCCGGGGACCCTCTGAGCCTGGTCTCGAGCGCCCTCCAGGCCAGGCTGGCTGCTTGTCCACGGCTGACCCGGGCTCACCGGCTCTCGGCACTGAGGCTACAACCAGGGTGCTGGCCTCAAGTGGGTGCCATGGCCCTCTGACCCCACCCTCCAGCCACACATCCCAGGCCTGGTGGAGGGCTATTTGCAAAGTCCCACAGCAATCGGGAGTTGTACCCCAAACACCGTCTTGATGTTGGAGTGCACTTTACATGTCACAGTAAGGAACTCACGCAATGAAACATTCAAATATGTACGTGCTCTGGGGACCAGCAGCATCCGCCTCACCTGGAGGCTTATTAGAAAATCAATCTTGACCCTACCTAAGACATACCGAACCTGAATCAGTCTGAGAAACAATGCTATGAACGCTGACCTCAGTGAGAAGCCACAGCCAGACAAGAGGGAGACGGAAAAACCACCTGAGAAGGTGGACACAGGTCTGCCAAGGATAGCAGAGTGAGGCTACTTATAAGGGCAAGCAGGAGAGCATGGGCTAGCAGCCGGGCAGAAGGGCACTGATGCACCGCACCCTTGCTGAGCCCCACACACGCAGCTCATTTTATTCATAGAGTGCAGATGAGGAAACTGAGGCACAGAGAGGTTCAATGATCTGCTCAGGGCTGGACAGCCACAATGGGTGGAGCCAGGCTCAGCCCAGCGCAGAAGCCCTGCTATTCGTCCAGAGGCGCTGAGCCCCTGGCCCTGGCCCCCAGCCGCCTGCCCTGCCTGCAGCAGAGGCCTCCCACGCACCCGAAGCTCCGGCATCTGGATGATGAGGCTCATCGGCACATGGACGATAGGGCTCTTCCGGTAGTCCATCGGGACGAGGTTGGGGGCCAGCTCGTAGAACCGTGTGTGGAGCCTTCAAGGGAAGCAGAGGAAAAGCATTGGAAGGGCACCACCCCCAAGCCCCGGCAGACCGATGCCATCCTGCCTGGGCCTCTGCCTCTGCAGACCCACCTGAGCCAGGGCCAGGTGAGGGCCCACAGGAGGCCATCTGCAAAATGTTAAGTGAAAAAAGCAGAATGCATAGTATGATTCCATTTTTTAAAAGCTTGAGTACATTTATCCACCTAAGACAAGACTGAAAGGAAGGCTGGTCACTCAAATGTTACTAGGTGATTATCTTGGGTGGTAAGATGGTAGTAAGACAACTTTTTTTCTTTTTTCTATTTTTTTTTAATTTTTAAAAGTTGAGCATCAGGGCGCGATGGCTCATGCCTATAATCTTAGCATTTTGGGAGGCCAGAAGGAGGATTGCTTGAGCCCAGGAGTTCAAGACCAATATGGCAATATAGCGAGACTCTGCCTCTATTAAAAAAAAACAGTTGTGATCAAATTAAAAAGCTTCTGCAGAGCCAAACAAACTATTATGAGAGCAAACAGACAACCTACAGAATGGGAGAAAATTTTCACAAGCTACACGTCCGATAAAGGGCTGATAACTAGAATCGATTTAGAACTCAGGAAATCAGCAAGAAAAAATCAACCCCATCAATAAGTAGGCAAAGGACATGAACAGAAACTTTTCAAAAGAAGACAGAATAATGGCCAACAAACATATGAAAATATGCTTAACATCTCTAATCATCAGGGAAATGCAAATCAAAACCACAATGAGATATCACTTATCTCCAGTAAGAATGGCCTTTATTAAAAAGTCCCAAAACAATAAATGTTGGTTTGGATGCAGAGAGATAGGAACATTCCTATACTGCTGGTGGGACTGCAAATTAGTGTAACCTCTGTGGAGAGCACTATGGAGATACAAGTAGATCTATCATTTGATCCAGCAATCCCATTACTGGGTATCTACCCAAAAGAACAAAAGACACTCTATAAAAAAGACATCTGCACTCAAATGTTTATAGCAGCACAATTCACAACTGCAAAGATGTGGAAACAACCTGAGTGCCCATCAATACATGAGTGGATTAATAAAATGTGGTATACGTGTACCATGGAGTACTACTCATCTATAAGAAACAATGTTGATATGGCACCTTTTGTATTTTCCTGGATAGAACTGGAACCCATACTACTAAGTGAAATATCCCAAGAATGGAAAAATAAGCACCACATGTATTCATCAGCAAATTGGTATTAACTGATCAACACCTAAGTGGACATATAGGAATAACATTTGTCGGGCATCGGGCAGATGGGAGGGGTGAGGAGAGAATGGGTATATACAAACATAATGAGTGTGATGCGCACCATCTGGGGGATGGACACGCTTGAAGCTCTGATTCCGGGGGGTGGGGAAGGGGAGGAAAGGCAACACACATAACCTAAACATTTGTACCCCCATAATATGCTGAAATTAAAAAATAAATAAATAAAACAGTTGTGATAAAATTTATCATTTTAACCATTAAAAGTTTTTTTTAATTGTGGTAAAATTCACATGACATAAAATTACCATCCTAACCATTTTTAAGGGTATATAGTTCAGTGGCATTAAGTACATTCACATTGTTGTACACCTATCACTACCATTCATCTCCAGAAATCTCTTTATCTTGCAAAACAGAAACTCTGTACTCATTAAACAGCTACTCCCTATTTTCCTGTCTTCCCAGCCCCTCACAACTACCATTCTACTTTCTGTCTCTGTGGATTCGACTACTCTAGGTGTACAAATATCTCTTCAAGAACACAGGTGTACAGATATCTTTCAAGACCCTGCTTTCAATTCTTTTGGGTATATCCCCAGAAGAAGAATTGCTGGATCGTATGGTGATTTTATCTTTAATTTTTTGAGGATCCACCATACTGTTTTCCATAGCTAGCTTGCTTGCTTCCTGCCTGCCTCCCTCCCTTCCTTCCTTCAAGACACAGTCTCACTCTGTTGCCTGGGCTAGAGTGCTGAGGGGTCAGCCTAGCTCACAGCAACCTCAAACTCCTGGCCTCAAGCAATCCTCCTGCCTCGGCTTCCTTAGTAGCTGGGACTACAGGTGTGTGTCACAATGCCTACCTAATTTTTTCTATTTTTAGTTGTCTGGCTAATTTCTTTCTATTTGTAGTAGAGATGGGGTCTCACTATTGCTGAGACTGGTCTCGAACTCCTGACCTCAAGCGATCCTCCTGCTCAGACTCCCAGAGTGCTAGGATTACAGGCGAGAGCCACCAAGCCTGGCCTGTTTTCCATAGCTTTGTTATCTAATTTTTACAACATGCCTAAGGAAAAACAATCTTAAGCATATTACAAAACACCAAGATCTGACTCTTTTGATAAACACATACAAAAGAAAAATACTGGCACAACATACACCAAAAGACTAACAGTCGTTATTTCTTGATGGTTAGGATTATAGGTTAATCTTTTTTATCTTCTCTTAACTGGCCTCATTTCTAATTTTTCTACAATCATCACCTATGTGTTTAATAAAAAATTAAAAGCAATTAAAATAGATTATACAAAGTTTTTAAAAGGTGAAGAAAACAAACAATAAAGTAACAAATAGGCAAACGCTGGTTTGGGGTGTTGGCTGGGTGGCCTCTCTGCACCGAGGGGACAAGGACCCCTGTCGCATCCATCTAGGAGCACACCCTCATGGGGCGAGGGGGGCTGAAGTGTGCGCATGGACCCACGGAAAGCTGGGTGGCTGAAGGGGGTGGTGGCCCAAGGGGGTGGGCTGCCCGCCAGGCTCAGTGTGGAGTGGAAGAGCAGCGTCTGGGAGCACCTGGACCTACCTGGGCAGGGCAGGGTGGAAGAAGGAGGGAGAACTGAAGGGGGTTATCGGTGACTCGGTGTCATTTCCCCAAGGCTGCCAGAGAGCTGGGCCCCAAGCTGCAAGGAAAACCTCCTGCTCAAGTTTCTTCCTGGCCATTGGTCAATACTCAGGGTGCAGCTCACCAAGAAAACCATCTGGGGGTGGGGGAGCAGCACTGAAGGACCGCTGGGAGGAGGGCAGACCAGCAGGGGCCCGGGTCTGGCCAGCCCGGCTCTGCTGCTGACCTGCCCTCTCTGGGCTGCGGGCCTCAGGTGTGCAGCCTGGACCTGAGACGGGAACAGTGCAGAGGGCAAACCTGGCGGGGAGGGGGGTCAGTCACGCCGGCCTCCCTAGAGCCCAGAGAGGGGGCTGGAGAAAATCGAAGGGGCTGCAACTGGAATCGTGCTACTGTGGCTATGCTTGGTCCTCCAGGGACAGGTAGTCCCACACCTTGCCTTGTCTCATACCCTTCCCTGAGGGTAGCCGGAGGGCAACAAAACTCCCAGCAGCCTTCTGTTGTGCTTAACAAGACTGTCACCTGGCCCTCCCAGTCACAAGGGCCGTGAGAAAACAGCTCCAGTCAGCACTGGCACTCCCCTGCTGTAGCTGTGGCACGAGACACAGAAGGTGCTATACCAGGGGGACCATTCCCAGACAGACTTTGTCCTCTGCCCCTCCCCACGTGACCATGTGGCAGAGAAAGCTCCAGGTCCAGTCCCTTGGGTCCCCAGTGAGTGCTAATACAGAGGCAGACCCTAATGACCAGTGGCAGAACAGGCAGAGGGGGCTTGGTGAGGGGTATCCAGCTGCCTGGAGGGGTCTTTTACCCTTTTTGGGAGCTCAGGTGTGGCCTCTGCTCTATGTTGAGCTACAGAGCCTGGTGTGCTGAAGGCCAGGGCTGTGGGGGGCCAGGATACCCCTCCCCAAGTCCTCTCACCTGCCCGGACTCCCTCATTTGCCAAGGGGTCAGGGACACTCCCAAAGGCCTGTCACATCGGATCCACTTCCTGGCCTGGCCTTTGAGCCACTCTCCCCTCTGCCCTGATGGGGGACCTTGCCGCTCTCAGCAAGAACACTGGAAGCTGGAGGTGAGAGGATCGGGCCTGTGTCCTTGTCCCTGCTGCTCCCCAGCCTGGGATGCCCTCCCCTGGCCAACCCTACCTGTCCTTCACCACATGTCCTTCAAGTACTGGCGGGTGGCTAACAGGTACCAGCCCAATGCTGGTCCCGCCTGCAGCAAGCCCAGTGGGGAGCTGTGCACCTGCGCCCATGAGCCCAGAGCCCCTCACGACCCGCAAGAGCAGCCGGCTGAGCACTGGCGTGGCAGGAGCTGGGGCTCACAAGGGAGATGACCCCAGAGATGGGTCTGGAAGGCAATGCCGGGGCAGAGGAGTGGGGAAGGGCACTCCAGGCAGTGGGACGGCCGGTGCCAAGGCGGGGACAGGGGCTTTCTCGCCAGGATGGAAACAGTCGTGGGCCTCAGAAGACAAGCAGCCTGGGCTCAGTATCCACCAAGGTTGGGGACAGAGTGTGCGGAGCCCCCTGGCGAGGCTTAAACGAGGACTCGTGCCAAGAACTGTAAGTGCTAAGAGGTGCACAAGATGCCAGGGCTGGTGGCTGTGTTAGCGCAGTTCTGAGAGCCACCCTGTCCAAACGAGGACCTCACCTGCCAATCCTCTCAAGCTACAGACCAAATCCCACTTACCAAACACCACACCTGGGGTTAGTGCCGCTCAGCAATGCTAGGAGGGCAGGTGTCCTTTTCCCCATTTTACAGAACAGTGAGGCGTGGGGACGGTCCAACACTTGCCCAGGGCCACAGAGCTGGGAAGAGGGAGCACAGCCCAGGTCTGCTGGTGCCAAGCCTCTCTGAGTGGCGAAGTGGGGTGTTCCCTGCCACGCAGAGGACGGGGTGCACCGGCAGGCAGCCTGGGCAGAGGAAAGGCTGAGGGGCACTGCCTGTCCGAGTGGAGTGGTCTGGGCGGTGACAAACTGCACCGCAGACCTAGTCTCAGCCTGTCCATCGATCTCCAGGGAAAGTGATCCTGAGACTTTGCTGGCTTTTAGTGCCACCTGATAGCCCAGGCAGAGGGGCCCGGCAAGGCCCGTGGGGCAGGTTTCCTGGCATTCTGCGATTCCCGCTCACCGTCTGGTTCTGAGCATCTGAGACTACCAGTCCCCTTTGTCTTCCTCATCCACGTGCACCCCCCAATCCCCCCAGGAGAGGGTTGTCCTGGGAAGGAAGGAGACCCCAGTGCACAGCTCGGGTGGTGGGCATGCCCTGACCCTTAGACATCCAGGAGTGGAGGACATCACCTGGAGCCAGAGTGCCCTCAGGGGCCCCAGCCTAGAGCAGCGGCTCTGTGCTGTAGCAGCCCCAGGACGCTGTGAACAGCAAGGGACCTGCAGGCAGAGGCCAGGTCCTCGACTCTCGCGTGTGTGACTTCGGCCAAGTTGCTCAGCCACATGAGGCTTTAAAATAGGGTTAAAAGGATTCTCTTGTCACAAGGTCACAGTGAGGACTTAAAAACGTGCCCGAAACCACCCACCCCAGAGTCCAACATGCAGTAAGTAAACGCTCAGCTCCTGGCAGAAGGGTCTAGACCCCGGGAGGGTGGGAAGTTCCCAAGTCCGTGCAGCACCCCCGGAAGGGTGGGAAGTTCCCAAGTCCGTGCAGCACCCCAGGGGTGAAGCCCAGACATGGCTCCTGACGGAGGCCGACACTCTTCCCAGCTCTGCCAGCACAGCAGCCCCATGGGCACCCCAGCCCCGACAGGTGAACGAGCAGCCACACTTACTTGAGGATGTCCTTCTTGTTGAAGAAGGTGCAGTCCTGTTGAGGGAAAGCACACACAGTTGGCTGTGCAGGTCCCGGGCTCCCTTCTTCCTCCAAGCCCTCCATGCCACAGGGCCTCTCGCAGCAGCCCTGGCTGGGGCAGGAGAGGCACTACTGCCCTTCTCCACCCCCAATGGCTGGGGACGTACACGCCAGTGTGCCCAGAAAACTCAGCCTGAAGGCTTTGCCCGTCCTTAGCTGGCTGGGGGGCCGCAGTGCATGGGCAGAGGTGCGCACTAGGGTGCAGGTTTAGGAGGGAGATGGAGAGCTCACAGGTTGATGTGGCTGATTGGAGGGCCGGGGGACACCCTGTGGGATGACAGGGGAGGAGGCTGGGAGACAGCTCCAGAGTGAGGATCCACAGGTCCCTGCGTCAGGCAGCTGCAGGGGCCACCGTCCACACGGCAGCCCTGAGAATGGGGCTTGTGGGGTTGTGCGGTGCATCCCAGGTGGCCTCGGGCTGCAGCCCTGTGCTCAGAGGCGGAGAGTTCCACGCACATAGAGCAGGGAAGCATCAGCGTGTACCTGGTGTCTGAGGCACAGGAAGAGATGAGGCCACACATGGAAGCGAGGAAAGAGGCCCCTGGTGTCGGGGGAGGCGGGCAGGGAGGGGCCCGTGGCACGTGGACAGAGCTGAGGATGGAGGCTGCTAGGGGCCCCCAGGTGGGCATTCCTCAGGGAGGGGCAACACTGGGCTCCTACTCTCATCTCAGGGGTCCTGTCTGCTACGGCCTGGCCTGGCTGAAGTGTTGGGCCGGGAGTCTGTGATGGCGGCTGCTGCACCAGGCCTCCGAGAGAAGCACAGAGGTGAAGAGGACCCAGGGCCGAGCCAAACGCTCAACTGTGAAGGGCTTCTGTGCTTCTCCTGTTAAGCTCCTCCACCTCTGCCCACCAGTCCGGCACAAAGGAAGAGGGCCTCGTAGGCTCTGCAGAGCCGCAGCCCATAGGGCCCTGTGGGCCCGAATGCTGACCAGAGCTGCCGCTGACGAGGGGCCATGGCCACAGCGAGGCTTGCCCTGGATGAGACTGGAAGCTGCTGGCCGCCAGCACAGCTGGGCTGCGTGTTGAGGAGGGCCAAGGAGAGGACGCCCGCAGGATGCACACGGCATCTAGGCTTCCCGCCGGGCACCTTGGGAGAGCTGAAGAGGGGAGAGTTGGTGGAAATTCCTGGCCCCAATTGGCCCAACGAGGCTGAGCTTCTAAGGCACCTGCTGCTCTCTGGGACTTAGACGAAGGACCCCAGGCTGTCTTGCCCTTCTTGGAAGCGCAGGGCCTTCTCCTGGGGGAAGACTCCTAGACTCTTGGACTTTGCTACTGACAGTGGCTCCTCTGTAGGAGCCAGGAGAGGCTTAGGCTGGGGAAGCAGCCCTCCGCCCCCACCCAGCAAGGAGAGAAAACTGCCTGCCTTGTAGGCCTAGGACTCAGACAGGCTGGGGACCACGTGGCTGAAGCCTGAGCAGACCCCAGAAACCTGGAGCAGGCAGCAAGGGCAGCCTGGCTGAGCCTTCCTGGTACAGACTTCCCTCCACCCGGGCTGTTGCCACAGTCTGAAGGGGCCCCGTAGAAGGGTCAGGGCTCTCCCAACTAGCTTAGAAGGGGCTGCCAACAGAACCGGGTCCTTGCTCCTGCTCTCTTCTCCCAATCTGTCCTTTCCCCCTCCCTCTCCTCTCTCCTACCCCCTGCGTTGGAAAGGAAGTACCCAGGTCCTGATCTACAGCTCTACATCCGTGGTGCTGAAGGCGTGGCTCCTGGCCCAGCAGCATCAGCCTCACTGGGAACCAGTGGAAATGCAGATTCTCAGGCTCTACTCCAGAGACCCTGAATTATTACAGGAACTCTAGGGGTGGGGCCCAGGAAGCCCTCCCAGTGATGCTGATATATGCTAAAGTGTGAGGATGTCTGCTCTAGAGCAGACTCGCCGGGGGAGCTGTTTAAAATACCCTTGGCCCCAGCTCCTCAGCAGACCCCTGACCAATTAAACAGGAATCCCTGAGGATGGATCCAAGTATCAGTGGTTTTCGAAGCCACTCAGGGCCAGGTGCAGTGGCTCACTCCTGTAATCCCAGCACTTTGGGAGGCTAAGGTGGGAGGATCACTTGAGCCTAGGAATTTGAGACCAGTATGGGCAACACAGTGAGACCCTGTCTCTACCAAAAATGTAAAACTTAGCAAGGCCTAGTGGCACACACCTGTAGTCCCAGCTACTCGGGAGGCTAAGGCAGGAGGACTGCTTGAGCCCAGGAATTCAAGGCTACAGTGAGCTATGATCAGGCCACTGCAGTGTAGCCTGGGCAACAGAGCAAGACTCTGTCTCTAAAAAAACTAAAAATTTAACAGATTTTTAAAAACAGCCACTCAAGTGGTTCCAATGTGCAGTCCAGGCTGAGAACCACATCATAGCCAATATATGATCACCATAGTGATCAAGTGCACTTGGCACTTGGGGCTCCGAATATCCAGTTTTATTTAATCCTCATCACTAGCCTATGGGGCAGGCATTATCTCCCCATTTCATAGATGGGAAAACCGAGACTCAGCAAAGTTTAACAGCTGGCCCCAAGTTGCGCGTGCAGCCCAGGAGGGCTGGGAGTGGAACTCAGGCTTGTGAGCTTCTTGACCGTGCCCATGACAACAGAGCGGTAGTCTACCTGTGACCACTGTTCACCAACCACTCCATGTCCCGCATCTGCTCTGTGATCCTATAGCTGCCACTGTGGACTGAGGGACATTTTAGCTGTATTTCCACGGCAGTTACTGTGTCCTTTCAATGGCTGCAGAGTATCTCACTGAGGGCATTGCCTCTGCTTGGCCTAACCTTTCTCCTCTTTCTAAACATTCCGGAATTGCTGCTTCTTGGTTCCAGCATTACTGATGAAGCTGCCATGAACCTGCTCGTCGACTGACGTTTTGCTTTTTCTTTTGCTAACCTGTCTCCCTGGGACTCATCCAGGGAGGCAGCTCACGGAGGACGAATATGGCAGGAGGCCTTAAAAGCTTTTCAGGACCCTGAGTAGCCTGGCCCTGTGGCAGGGAAAAAGGTTTGGTAGTCAGATTCAAATTCTGGTCTTGCTCAGACCCTTAGGCAAGTCATTCTCCTTTCTAGCCTCAGTTTCTGCACCTATACAATGGGATTCAGGGACAGTGTGAGGAGCAAATGAGAAAGGTGCAGGAAGTCTATATGCCACAGCTGATAGCAGTTCTCTCCCCCTTTAGTGCAAGAGCTCCATCCACCACCCTGTGTCCCAAAGGCATCTCCCCAGAGTCTGCAGCTGCCCCCACCCCAGAGGCACCGAACGAGGAGCCCGCCCACCCCACACAGCTGCCCAGGGAGCTACAGCCACATGACTGCAGGAACCTTCCTTCTGAGGGCAAACAACCCCACCACTACTCGGTGCCTGACAGTTCGTAGGGACGCAGGGACAGGTGTCCCGGCAAAGGTCCCAGCTTTGGTCAGGGTCACGGGGAGTGGGAGGGAGGAGGGGAGGGAGGGGGCCTAGCCCAGGAGAGGTGGGCCCTCGGGACTTTGGCAGCAGAAAACAGGACAGGCTGGGCCTTCACGGTAGACGCCCAGATGTTTTTCCAGTTAGGCGTGAGGTCTGCCCCACGCCTACACTCAGCTATTCCCCCGCCGGGAGTGCCCTCCCCTCCCTCTCCAGCAGGTCCAAATCCTTTCCACTCTGCAAACTCAATGCAAGGGCTATTGCTCCAGGCAGCCTCCTGCTTCCCTCTCCTACACGCCTTGTCTGCCTGTGCCAGTGGTCAGGAGCCCAGCCACAGCCCTCCCAGTGGGAGTCGCAGCGGCTCTCCATCCAGCTCTGCCAGCCCAGGCCTCAGCACTGCCCAGCTGCCATCCCGAGGCTCGCAGTCAGGTGCCAGGGTGATCTCAGCAGATCCCCACAAGAGCCCTGTGACATGAGCACAGCTGGGTTAGTGGTTATTCCCATTTTAGAGGTGGAGACACTGAGGCCCAGAAGGGGACAGTTGCTTGCTAAGGCCCACAGCCTCAAGTGCCCAGCTGACTTGAATCTAGGACTTCAGAATCCTTGTCGGGCATTCTCTACCTTTCTAGAGCCATGCCTTTACAAGTATCTGCCCATTCATTCATCTGACCACATCCTCTAAGGGCCTCTTCTGTGCCAGGGCAGGGGCCACACAGGAAGGGATGGAGTGCACAGAGGGAGTGGCATGCCCAGAGGGACGAGGCATGTGTATGTGCCATGGGCCCACCGAATGCTCCCAGCTGAATGGATTGGGGGGAGGAGGCAGGGAGCCCTTCCCAAAGAGGCGAGGCCTGGCCTCTTTGGGAGATGAGAGACATGAGCCAGACTAGGTTAGTGAACAGGTGAGGGGAGGGCACCAGGAGAACAAGGCCAGAGGTGAGGGTGCGCCTAGCTAGAAGTCCTTCAGTGTGCTTGGAATTTGGGGTGCAAAAGGGAAAGGAGAGAGAAATGAAGCTGAAAACTGGCTGAGCACAGACTAGGCTGGGATGAGCCTGGACTCCACTCAGGCTGTGATCCCAAGACCCAACAGAATCACCGGGAGAGGAGGGGTCACACCTGTGTTTTGGGAAGTTCTGTCCTATCCTTTGACCCTGCGCTGCTGCTGCTGCTCCTGCGTCCGTGTCTTATAGACAACTGCCTAGCGCCTCCCACCGCAGTAGGGGGTTGGGTGGCTCTTGTCCACGGATTATTCTTACAGAAAAAATTGTTTTGCAATAGTGATGAATATTGTGTCTGTAGAAAAAACCGGAAGGGAGGGAGGGAGCGAGGGAGGGAATAGGGAAGGAGGAAAGAAGGGGGGAAGAGGAGTGAGACCGAGGGACTGTGGCAGAAGAGTGTGGGTGGCTGGAGGGGGACAGAAAGGAGGGCGAGAAGGAGGGAGTGAGACCTGCAGCTCCCATGAGACTGAGGAGGCCTGGCCTGGGCCCCGGCTGTGGGGATAGAGGAGGGGTCTCCAGTGAGACCCAGGGAGGCTCAGCCACAGGACGTGTTGCTAACTGAAAACGTGGGCTGAGGGTGAGCAGAGAGCTGGAACGGCTGGAGGAGCAGTGGTGGGTCTGGGGAAGGCTGTGAGCCCTGTTTGAGGTTTAAAGGGTCTCGAGGGTAGATGTGCGATGCAGAGGAGTGTTCTGGGCAGAAGGCTGAACTTTGAGGGTCACTAGTATCTGGGGACGCCCTGCCTTGGGAAGGGAAGACTGCTAGGCTGGGAGTCCCATGAAACCTAAAGGTCACCTGGGGGGTTGCTGTAACTCAGGGTCACCCCCACCTGGCCCTGGTTGGTACCTGGCTGGCCGGAGAGCCAGAGGGAAGGAGATGTGGAGTTCTCAGGTTTCACAGCCCTCATTTCTCCCATCCTGCCTGGCAGGGTCTAGCCGGGCTCTGGCAAAGGATCAGAACCGAACACTGGGACTGGCTCCAACAGGTAACCCAATGCCAGGCTGGTCTGAGAGGGAACCCAGGCTCCCCGCCCCCATGAAGCTATCTTCACTTCTGGGCATGGTTTGCCTGCTTGCCTGCACCCACCTCCAAGTCTCTATCCAAGCCGTCCCCTCCCCCTGGGGCCTGCTGGGCCTGCCCAAGCGCTGCGCTGTTTCTGAACCTTCCACTCAAAGCAGAAGCACACGACCCTCCCGCTGTCTCCCACTGCCCACTGCGCCTTCCCCTCGAACACACGCCACCACCCGCCTCTGCCAAGGGCCACACTCAAAGCAGAAGCACACGACCCTCCCGCTGTCTCCCACTGCCCACTGTGCCTTCCCCTCGAACACGCTCCACCACCTGCCTCTGCCAAGGGCCACACTCAAAGCAGAAGCACACGACCTCCCCGCTGTCTCCCACTGCCCGCTGCGCCTTCCCCTCGAACACACGCCACCACCTGCCTCTGCCAAGGGCCACACTGGAGGTGAGAGCCTCTCACTAGGCCGTGAGTGTCTGGGGAGAAAGCACATATGCCCTGGCCCAGCCCACTCCTAGCTAAAGGGGTGAGCCTTGTTTACAGGATTCAAATTCCTGGGCGAGCCCTGATTGGCCAGAACACCAAATGGCTCCTCAGTCTCTGTTTACTCTTCTGTGAAATGGGACTAATAATCCCCCTCACTGTGATGAAGAAACGAGTTGATGTCTAGAGGGCATGAACTGCAGGGCCTGGACACAGCCGTGCTCCATACACTTGCCTCCCCTCTTCATAGGATCTGACAAATCCGTGTTCGTGACAACCATGGCTTCCAGGAGGAGAAGGGGCCCCTGTTTTACCCTCACACACATCAGAGGACCCACACCTCAGGCCTGCTGTCCTTCACAAGGACAGCGAGTGCTCATAAAGGCCACTGGCATCTACAGAGACCCTGCTGGTGTCACACAAGTGACAGCACGGTCCTACAGGGGAGTCAGGGAAGGCCATCAGACTCGGGCCTTGCAGGATGAAGGAGATCACCTGGAGAGAGGGGGCGCAGCACCCCAGGCCCAGGCACCAGCATGGGCAAGGGCAGGTAGGGAGGATGGAGTCCAGGGGTAGGGACTGCAGATTGGTCGGAGGTGGCTGCAGTGCAGAGGGCAGGGCAGGAACCTGGGGGGCTGAGGGTGCAGAGGTGAGCTGGGCAGCTGGCCAGGCTGTGGGCAAGCTAGGGTGTGGGGCTTCATCCTGCACCATGGAGACGTTTGTACACGTGTGGGAGGCCATTGGGACGCCAGATGTGGACAGCTGCTTCTGGAAGCAGGGAGACCTAGAAGGGTCTAAGCACGCAGCTAGGGAGGCTGGCAGGAGCTTGGAGAGGTGGCTATGTAAGGCTGGTACCTGGCTTGCCTTGTTGCTCCAGTTATTTCCATATTGGGGTCAGAGAGACAGGCCTCAACAAATAAAGTACCCCCAATTTAAGCCTGCATTTGCAGGATGCACCCACTCCCTGCCAGGACCTCAGCTCTCATTTCTGTTTTACCAAGACTCACTCTCCTGGGCTATTCCTGAGACTTGTCAGGTGGGGAGGAGGGAAGGACGGTCCTGGGCCAGCCCAATTTACTGACTCTCTGTGCCAGGGTGGGTTTTGGCATGGGTGGCTCGGGAGGGGTTCGGGTCCAGTCTGTGGCAGAGAGCGAGAAGACGGGGTAGCTGGAGTGAGGTGCTCCTGAGAGAATCCTCCAACTGGAAAGCGCTGTCATTCTCCGGGTGGGGAAACTGAGGCTTGGCGAGGGGGAGGCATCAGCCCAAGGTCACGCTGCGAGCTGGAGGCAGGGACAGGGTCTGAACCCCGGGACCTCCGTCCGGAGGCCTCAGGGCGCGCGGGGCGGAGGGCGCCGCTCGGGCCGGGCGCCGGCTCACCTGGTAGTTGTCCAGCTGCTCTTCCGTGAAGATGGTCTGCTTGTTCCCCATGGCGGCCGCCGCTCGCCCGCCCGCCCGGGCGCCGCCTCCCAGCAGCGGCCGCGGAGCGCGACGGAGCCCGCGGCTCGCCACCCGCGGCGGGCGGCGTCTCCGCCGGACGGCCCGCCCGCCCGCCGAGCCCGCGCGGAGCCCGGAGGCGGGCGCGCCCCGAGCCGGCGGCGACCCGCCGGCGGGCGGAACGCGCGGTGCGTCGCGTCTCGCCCGGCCCGCCCGGGGCGTCGGCCGGTCGCGCCGCGCGGGCGACCGGACTTCCGACCGCGGGCAGGCTGCGCAGGGGGGGCGGCGCAGGCGGAGAGCCGGGCTGCCAGCGCGGGACCTGGCCGGGCGGGCCCGCCGTCCCCTCCCGCGCCCACCCGGGCGAGCGCTCCCCCTGGGCCTCTCCCCGCCGGCCCGGAGCCGGTCTGACCTTTGACCCTGGGCCTCTCTCCCCCGCCGGCCCGAGCGGCCTGACCTTTGACCCCGCGCGGCGGCGTGAGCCGCTTGGCTTTCCGTGAGTCCTCGGACAGACGTGGGACTTGAGAGACGGTGTGTGGAGGCGTGTGACGGAAGCCGGGACGTGCTGGGCCTTCACGCAGATGCCTGCGAGGGAGGCAGAGCGCGCCCGCCTTGCAGGCTCTGGCTGGGCCCGAGCGCGTGTGGCGGGGAACCGGTTAGCGGGGAACGAAACAAAGACCCGAAGAACTGGCGAAACCTAAATACTTTTTTGTAGGTTGAAGAGAGAGGCGACTGTGGAAAAGTAACTCAAACATGCGGGAGGCTAAAGGAAGGTGAGGACTATTGGAACCCAGTCTGTCTGCACAGAATTCTCTGCGTCTCACCCTCTTGTCCTCGATGCTGAGAGGGTGTCTTTTCTCCTGCTATAGGGATGGCGGCTCTCACAAAGAATTTCATCTCCTGTTTTTAAGGGGAAAAAATGGGGATCATCGGAGTGTCCTTTTTGCATCTGCTGCTTTCCAAGTGCCTTTAACTCAAAATAGTCGCTATACCAGGGTGCATATTTTGGGGTGGTATGTTATGAACGCCCTCACCGTCCACCAGGTGGAGCAAATGGAGCCGCCGCTAAGTACCTTTCAGGCGTCCAGCCTGTACAGGTGTTACTTCTAACCTCAGGACCGCTGATTCCGTAGGTGTTAGCTCCATTTTACAGGCAAGGAAACGGGCTGAGACAGGAACTTGCCCAGGGTTTCACAGCTGGGAAGTAATCGGACCTGGGGTGGACCTAGGCACTGGCTCAACCCTCTATCCCACGCCTGTTGGTGGACTCTGATGAGCTCGGGACTTTATGCTTTCAAATATATGGTTTGTTTCTTCAGGGTTATGGTTCTTTCTTTCTTTTTTTATGGAAGGGTTGGTCCTGAAACTACTTGGGAGGGTGCATCAGAATTACTTGGGAAGCTACACCCTCAGAGTTTCTGATTTAGTGGGTCTGGGGTGGCCAAGAAAGTCAGTATCTAGGCCGGGCGCTGTGGCTCACGCCTGTAATCCTAGCTCTTGGGAGGCCGAGGCGGGCGGATTGCTCAAGGTCAGGAGTTCGAAACCAGCCTGAGCAAGAGCGAGACCCCGTCTCTACTATAAATAGAAAGAAATTAATTGGCCAACTGATATATATATAAAAAATTAGCCGGGCATAGTGGCGCATGCCTGTAGTCCCAGCTACTCGGGAGGCTGAGGCAGAAGGATCACTGGAGCCCAGGAGTTTGAGGTTGCTGTGAGCTAGGCTGACGCCACGGCACTCACTCTAGCCTGGACAACAAAGCGAGACTCTGTCTCAAAAAAAAAAAAAAAAAAAAAAAAAAAGAAAGTCAGTATCTAACAACTAATGTTTATATATGCACTCCTTTCATTCCCTATATTTTCCCCTTAATTGTTTCCTCCCTCATCATTTTTCTGAAAGTCACAGGACAGTGAGCCCATCTGAATTTGAATTTCTAAATCCTGGCTCTGAATACCCTGAACTCAGAATCTAACTGGTTCCGCAGCCTGGCCAGGAGGGAATGCTCCCCACCGTCACCCCCGGACCATGAGCACCAAGGGCTGTAGTGATTTAAGAACTGTAAAATTTATTCTTATGCCTACATATGATCATAAGAAATTTTAGTCAAGGGAACATATATTCCGTAAAATATACTGGAGATAAGAAGTGCTGTAACCATCATTATTATGGTACGATAATAGAGTTGATGTATCTTGCTATCACTGATAGTATTATAAACAAAAGTAGTCTGTCTAGCTAATCTCATATATTTATTTATGAATTTTAGAAGTTGTCAGCTCTGCAGTTTGGCGTTACATCACACATACAATTGTCATTTAATACTCTCTCGCTTCTTCATTCATTAGTAGATTTTCTCCTGTTTTCTCCTCTCTTAGCTCTTGCATGTCTTTTTTGTTTTTAACACGTAGCTAGGCATTGTCAATCTCACCAATTATATTCAGCCTTTGTCCTATAAAGAAATTATTACATTGCAAAGAGATATGAAATCATTGAGTTGTGTCATCTCAAAATTTTTAATTGATGATGGAACAACATTGTACTGAAACACAAATGACACAGGGCTGTGATGCTTGAAAGAAAACTTCACAATGTCAAAGATTAAGCTTCATTTCCTGACTGACGTACAGTTCAAAAAATGTCACCAATTTAACCTCTCTCTCACAAAATCAACTGAGTTGCCAAATCTGCATACAGAGTTGGGGGAGAAGAAACTACCCGAGGGAACACCTGGGGCGGAGGACGACTGTGAAGGGAAAAAGACTTGTTGTGCGAGCCACTCCTGCCACAAGGAATCTGACCCCCAGGAGTCTGCAGGAGCTTTGTCACTGAACCTGCACTGCAGTCCCCTGGTCTGCTGAAGGTGGCACCCGGGGCTGGAGCTCCCAGAGGGACGGGACTGTCGCTGCTCTGTCCACTTAGGTAATGAGCCCAGCTGTGTTCCAAGATTTTAGATTCTTTCATCGGAAAAGGGTAGGGCACAACTCTGCCTGGTGTATCAATCTCAGTGCGTCTGTTCTTCCAGAGCTTAGTTTTGTTTCTCTGCCCACCCTCCCCTTTTGGGATGGATGAGTTCTATTGTCCATTGTTTGGCAGTTTTTATTTTTCAAGTGAGAAAACCCTGAGAACTGAAGAACTGAGAATTTTTTTCTTCAGAGCTCCTGTGTTATCATGTTAGGTTACAGGGTATTCTTTATTTCCTCATTAAGTGCATTAATTTCTTAGACATATGCTTTGTCTACATAATAGTCATGGATGTAAGTTTCATGTACACAAAATAAAGAAAACTTAAGCCATGTGAAAGGCTTAATATAGGAGGTTAAAATTAAGTAATTTAATTAATATTATATATTGCTATTTTTAAAATTCAGGTAATAGTAAAGGGGAAATAAATTAATATCTTCTTGTGCAAAATTCTATTTCTTCCCTGTCCTTGTGTGTGTCAACAGAAAAGAACCCAAACTCTGTAAAATATTTTTAAAGAGGTTTATTCTGATCCAAATTTGAGAACCATGGCCTGGAGCCACTCCCAAGAAACCTTGAGCAAGCAGACTCGCTATGGCTGGGTCACAGTTTGGTTTTATACATTTCAGGGAGACAGGAATTACACTTAAAGTCATAAATCAGTACATGGAAGGTGTACATTGGTTTGGCCCAAAAAGGCAGGACATTGGGGGGCTTACAGGTTATAGAAGAGTTTGAATATTTTTTGATTTGTAATTGGTTAAAGAAATGAAGCTTTGTCTAAAGGCCTGGGATGTTTTAAGTTAAGGTAAGAAAGTCTGTAATCAGAGAGCAGCCACTGGACAAATACCAGACTCAGGTGATCTGTGAAGTAAACTGATGACCTGGAGGTGTGGGTTAAGCTTTGTCTTGCATAGCCACAGGCCTGTTACTGAGTTACAAAGGACACCTTTCCCTGAGAAGGGAGAGGGGGCACATGATAAGGCATGTCTGACCTCCTTGTCATGGCCAGCAACTCAGCTTCAGGGTAGTTCTGGGGTCCCCTTGGCCAAGATAGCGTCCATTCAGTCAGCTGGGGGGAAGCTTAAGATTTTATTTTAGTTCACATGTATTTAAGGAAAATAATTATCTCTTCCATATTAACGTGCATCATTCATTTTAGAACTTTTCAAGTGATTATCAGAAGTTTTCTAAGTTATTTTAGGCAAGGTTTATCAAAATAGTGCATGTGAAAAATATTTATTTGTTGACAAAATACTTTATTTCAAGCTTCTGGTTGGTTTTGGTGGATGACGATTTATCCATTGATGGTTTAATCCGCACCTTGACGTTGCGGGTGTCTTCGCAGCGGTGGTGTGTGAGCTGCACAGTGTGCAGGAGAGGATTTGTAACAGGCGCTCGTGGATGCTTAGGAACGGCTCTCTGTGATTTCGTGTTTGCGAGGGGTGATGAAGACTACCAGCCAGCAGGGTACAAGAGTCTATAACTTCTTTTCTTTTGAACTCGGGTTAGCTGGCTCCCTTTGGATGTTAGGATTTATGTGCCACAGGAAGCAGGAACTTCTTAGCCCTTTCTTGTTAGCAAATAGGCTCTGACCTAGGATTAGTTTTTCTTTCTTATCACTGCTGACATATTTTTGGTCATAAGAATAAACATTCTATTATATTCATGAAAGTGAGATTAATCAAATGAAAAAAAACCAATTTTCATTTCTGTAAATGAAGCTTTAAATCACTAGCTAAATTAGCTAGATACAGATGTCAGGGATCACATGAAGTGTTTAGAAACCTTGATGCCCAGAGGCAGAGCTGCATGTTTAAGAACAAGGAGCTGGGGCTAGAGTTCAGGTCCCACAGAAACAGCCAAGTCTAAGGCCTCAGGTGGCTCTAGAAATGAGGAAGTAACAATTTTTCTACAAGTGGAGTGAAGGCTTCATGTGATTCTTCCCCCATTAAGATAATACCACACAGGTAGCCTTGAGTTTCACGTTTTCTACACTGCATTAAACTTTTATGGCTTATCATGTCAGGCACCATAGTTCCTCTGAGTTAAATTCCTTCTCTTACTAATATTAATAACAGCAACTGTAAGGTTTTTCGGCGGTGGCGAAAAGAAAAGAGACACAGAAAGAGAAAGAGTGGGGGGCCAAACCACGTGGCTTTATTATACACTCGTGGACGAGGTTCTGGGGCCCCCAAGAGCGGGGGGGCCCGGAAGTCGCCACAGTTTGAAGGGGCTGAGGCCTTTTATATCCTTTGGGCCTGGCTAGGGACTTTTGGCGGGAAGAGCGGGATTTTAGGAGGGGCTGGAGGTATTTGTGGAATCCAGGAGCCAAAACATTCTTATCTAGATGGACATCTGGGTGTGGATCCTCTCAGTGGGGCCTGGCAGTTTTGTCCTTGGCGGGTCTGGTCTCATGAGTCTTTTCTTTTTGATCTAGGGAAGGGAGGGGGCCGCCACCAGCCTTACAGCAACCATTTTGCATAATGCCATGGGCTATGTTGATTCTCAGGATGCCCTGTGAGGTAACTATTTTTATCCATGTTTTATGTAGCAGAAGCTAAATTTCAGAATTTCTAAGTGGATTTTCCCAGATCACACACCCAAGTCTCTCTCAATCCAAGGTCTGTGCTATTTGAGTTCACACTGTACAATGGCATTTCTGCAACCCTAGGTTGTTGGACATGAGAGGAGCTAAATCCAGGAGACTTCTTTCCTCCATGTTTTCCATCATTGTCATGGAACATGTGCTGGTCTCCAAGCACACCTGAGCCCGTGAGTAATAAATAGTCAGCCTGTAATGAGGCTGTTGGACAGGAGAGGGGCTCAGTCCAGGAGACTTCTTCCTTCCATGTTCCTTTTCATTGTCATGGAACATGTGCTGGTCTCTGAGTACACTTGAGCCTGTGAGTAATAAATAGAGTGTAATTAGGTTGTTGGACAGGAGAGGGGCTGAGTCCAGGAGACTTCTTCCCTCCATGTTCCCCTTCATCATCATGGAACATGTGCTGATCTCCAAGCACACCTGAGCCCGTGAGTAATAAATAGTCAGCATGTAATGAAGTTGTTGGACAAGAGAGGGGGTGAGTCCAGGACACTTCTTCCCTCCACGTTCCTCTTCATTGGCATGAACCATGTGCTGGTCTCCGAGTACACCTGAGTTCGTGAGTAATAAATAGCGTGTAATGAGGTTGTTGGACAGGAGAGGGGCTGAGTCCAGGAGACTTCTTCCCTCCAGGTTCCCCTTCCTGGTCATGAAACATGTGCTGATCTCCGAGTACACCTGAGCCCGTGAGTAATAAATAACTCATTATGAGGTTGTTGGACAGGAGAGGGCCTGAGTCCAGGAGACTTCT